CGTCTGTTCCCCGCCTCAGTGGCTTCTCTCTGCAAAGCACGGGAATGGGTCTTTTCAGTGGCAGAGTGATTCAGCAGACAGACGCACAGACTAGCGCAGAGCTAAGCACCATCCAGTGTGAAGGCCAAAGCCTTCCCACAAAGCAAGTTCCAAGGTAGCACAGGCGAGACAGGAATCTCACAGAAACTAAGCTGTTCCCTCTAGTGCTCTGCCAATTTGAATAAAGTATGAATAGGGAATATTTCAAAAGAACCGTTGCTCAATTTCTTCTAAAACAATTCATTGTGAAATGTGCCCACGTTCTGAATTCTTTAGTAACAATTGAGAAAGCAAAGGGAAGAAATGGTAAGTTGCATAATGCCACTTTTCTGTACAACGTAAATGAGGGGCAACTGACAAAACTCAATTATTGTGCTGTGTGATGAGCAAAGAGAAAAATCTAAAAACTAAATTTTCTTTCCTTTTAGCATTATATCAGATATAGCTTGTAAACCAGGACTTCAAACTAAAAAAAGAGAACCCAGGAAAATACTAGGTAGGACTTTCTAGCTGATGGCTCTGAAAGTCTAGCCCATCCCTCCTTGGACTTCTGAGCCTGTCCCTAGAAGCTGAAGGACAAAAGCATGTATCCCTTTGGTGGTCCCCATGCATGGGCTAAATGCTACCTGACCAGCCAATGTGCACAAGTATTACCCTGGATATGGGCGACCCTGAGTTCATGATTAGCCCAGATGTAAGCCTTTTTAATGCAAAATCTCCAGGGGCTGGGGATGTAGCTCAGTGGTACAGCACTTGCCCAGCATCCATGAGGTCCTGGGTTTAACCCCCAGCACCGCCCAACAAATAAACAAAACCCTTGCTATCAGCAAGATGAATGAATGTTACTGTCCAATTGTAATGATAGAAAAATTGAGGCATAAAAGGCATCGGGTTATCTTGGGTTAACCTCATCTGCTACATGCCTCATCTAGAGTAAAAATGGGCCCAATAACTTTTCTAGCAGCTTGGGGGGATCAAGTTGGCCACATGAATAAAAGTTCACAAAAATACACTTCTGGATTATTTAGGAGCCATTTTTTTTTTTTTTGGTAATGGGGATGGAACTCGGGTCCTTGCGCTTGCGCAGCAGGCGGCAAAACCACTGAGCTAAATCCCCGACCCAACTTCTGGATATTTAATATTTATTTGGAGAAATAAACTAAGTATTTAATAACACTTGATTCCAAAATAAGCCCAAATAGTAACAATCTGTAGTTCGTAGGATGGCTTATTTTGGAAATGTAAAAATATTGAGAAAGTTGGAGAAACTTAGGCCAACATAAAATAACACACTTGTAGAACAACTTACTTTGTAGTGAGTGGAAAGCAGGTCTCGGAGCTTCAGTGCCTCCTGGGAGGAAAAGCTCCAGTGTGCAGCTGCATAATCAGTATATGTGCCTGAGGGGTCAAATCCACCCTACCTGGTGGTCAGTGTTTATTTAGTAGCCACAATGAAGGGACAAGAGCGCTTCCCCATAGAATTTTGTAGCCTGGGATAGCCCATCTTCTCCTTGCAAGTTCTATCTTTTTGTGCTAATGGGCCATTAAGACAACAGTTCTAGAACCTTCCTGTCCACCTAAGTCGGCAGTGACCCCGCTGGCGAGCTGGGCTCAGCAGTCTCTTGGAATCAGTTCCTACTGCACATAGCAGCTGAAAGGCCAATACTACTTCAACAGAACTCTGACCTTCTCTGAGAGCAATCCTCAGTGGTATCACAACAGAAGTGCACATGAATCCCTCAGGCTCCCTTTAGCAGGGCCTGGGAAAGGTTATTTTTGCCATAGTCAAAGACTCTCCAGTTTGTTGGTATTCAATAAATGTCACCGTTGATGTGGTCAGAAGTAAGAATCTAATTATTTGATTAACATTGCCCTTTGTGGGGAATCATCATGATTAATCTATAGCTAGGAATTATCCACTTAGCAGTGTGAAAATGTTGAGCACTTGTAACACTGGAAATGTCACGAGACCTTTCCATAAGGCTATCATCTTGCCAAAAAAAGTCTGACTCTTCAACTGGGTGCAGATTAGCAAAACATTACTGATTAGTAGTAATCAGCCTGGCATTATTGACTTTCATAACTACTATTTTACATATCCAGGCATGTGCTTCATAACGATGAGGATACATTCTGGGAAATACATCATTAGGTGCTTTCATTGTGCATCAGTATGCACTTACACAAACTAAGATGGCTACATCACCACAAGATGATACAGTATGAGACTACTGTCACATAGGTGGTCCACCATCGATCCCCAAATGTCCTTATGTGATGCACGACTCTTGCATGAGTTTATAAAAGCAAAGTGTTATTAGAAAAAAAGATAAAGTAATTTGCACAAGTCATGTGATTAGGAAGTGGCTGGCCTGATGTGTAGACTCATCCGAAAGTCTATGCCGGTTCCCACACACCACACGACAGGAATGCTGAAGTTTGCTGCCCTTTCCCACCCAGAAAGCTAAGCCCAGGGAGCTACTGTTTCAGCAGGTGTGAGGTTCCTCACAGGGCACGCATGCTGCTGGTATCAGTTGTGCCTTTGTGACCCTGGAGTGCATTTACTGGTGAATTCTCTTTTGAGTCTGAATGGTATCAGCATACAACATTCTCATGTTTAGGTAATTTAATGTAAAACAAAAGCACATGTGAATGTAAACTATTAGCTATGTGTTTCCTGTTACTCAAATAACTTTCACTCATAATAAAAGTGAAACAAATGGTATGAAGAAAATAACAATCATCTATGAATCACACAGTGATAGCAAAATACTGCTTCACAGCCTTACAGATTTTATTCCCACGTGTGTTACTTCAAATAGAAACTGGATCATCCTATATAAACCTCTTACCCACCCTCGTGTACATCTTTTTATGCTACTGAGATTTTGTGCCAGCAAAGGGTAACAGACTACATTGTACTTTATATTCCACATTCACAGTGACAGATATCAATTTATAACTGGCGTTTTCTAGCATGTGATAAAAAAATACAGCTGCAGAGTTCTAGGAAAAGAAGGTTATGTCATAGAAAAAGGAAAAAGTGTGGGAAGCTTTATATAATTTCTCCATTTATGAATGCGTCATTTTTACCTTTTTGTTTTTACAAACTTTATTCAGAATACAATAGAGCGGTTTGCTAAGTGTTGACTTTTCTCTGCCAAGAGAGACTAACCCAAAGAGAAAGACATCCTAAATATGCAGAAGCAGCTTCACAAACACTGAAGTTTATTATTACAACTGTGAGGGACTGAAAATACTCTCTTACAGGGGTTTCTTTTCTATGTCCTGGTACACATTAAGCACCAAGTCGTGTCTATGGCTAGCCAGAGCCTGGCCCAAACCAACAGCCACTGTCCCATCTGCCATCTCTAATGCTCTAAGGCAGGGGTGGCCAACCTATGGTGTGTGTACTATTTGTTTTTCTTCTAAGACCAAAGATGTTAATGTCTGAGTTGTTTCTTTCTGAACTAAAACCTCAGTATTCAGGTTGAACTGCAGCGTTGGCACTGTGCAGTCAATGGGTGGGTTTTGGGTTGCAGGTTGGGCACTGGTCCTTAAAAGGTTTGTCATCACTGCTAAGTTTGGGAATGAGCAAAAGAGAGAACCCTGTGGCTAGGAACATCAGCACTAAGCAATCAGAACAAGGAAGATGAAGGTCACAAAGAAAAAGGAGAAAAGGATAGCTCACAGCAAAGTTAATGAAAGCAGAATACAGGTATTGATCTTATTAATTCACTCACTCAGTACTTGTTGAGCACTTATTTTGACTCACAAGACAGTTTCTGTCACTGTTTAGTTTGGCGTGTTTGTAAATGCATTCACATTTATGTGTATAGAATGTAAGTGGAAATAAATATAATAAAGGCGATGTTAACATGTAACATTTCATACTAATTTTCTTCAAGCAATTTATGTGATACTTATGTCCTTAAGGTTTTTATTCTATTTTTCCACTTCTGGATGAGATCTATAGAACAGTATTTCTGTTCTTTAAAAATTGGGTGGAATTTTATTCACATTTACATTAGATCTACTCTGTAACATATATTTATTCTTTTCTTCAAATGGCAGTATTAGACTGTCTCTATTCACCCTTGTTGCTTTCTGAAGAATTATTTGTAATTTATTCAAGAGTAAACTTACCTTCCATGAATACTATCAAAAGACAAGAGATAAGTGTTCGTGAGAATGTAGAAAAAAGAGAATCCTTTTACACTGTTGGTAGAAATGTAAACTGGTATAGCATTATAGAAAACAGTATAGAGGCTCCTCAAAAATTAGAACTAGAACTACTATATAATCAAGCAACTCCATTCCCAAGCATGTACACAAAAGAAATGAAGTCAGTATGTTAAAGAGATAATGGTATTCCCACATGAAGCACAGCATTATTCCTAGTAGTCAAGACATAGACTCAGGGTAAGTGTCCGTCGGTGGATGAATGATGAAGACAGCACAGTAGAATACTATTCAGCCTTAGAAGAGAAAGTCTTGTCATTTGTGACAGCAGGGATGAACCTGAGGGGCATCACGCATAGAAAGAGAAATACTGCATGATTTCACCTTCATGTGAAATCTAAAACAGCTGAACTCATAGAAGCACAGAGTAGAGTGGCGGTTACCAAATGCTGGGGAAAGCCAGATGGGGAGATGTTTGTCAGAGAATACAAAACTCCAGTTTATTCTGCAGAAAGAATAAATCCAGGAAACCTAAAGTACAATATGGTGACTGGTGACTATAATTAGCAACAGTGTATTCACGGCTTGAAAATTGCTATGAAAATGAATTTTAAATGTTCTCACCACCAAAAAATTCAATGGAGTTAATGGATATGTTAAGTAGCTTGATTTAGCCATTCCACAATGCATACATACATCAAAACGTCATATTGTACTCTTTAAAGATACAACTTTTGTCCATTAAAATTAAATAACTTCTTGAAAAAGAGCAAACTTACCTTCCAAATGGAAAGACTCAAAAGTCAGGATAACCACAGACCTACGATGCCCCTTTATCAGGTAGGTGCAGTTCATATTGTTGTCATATCGCTTTGGGAAGTTTGGAGAGATAATGGAACCCGAAGAACTAGTGAAATTATAGCCACATCCTATGTGAGAACACAAAAAGCATCATTAGAACATTTGTTCTCACACGCAGTGTCGAATCCCTAAAGAAAAGGTGTCATTCCATTAATTCTCTAGTGACAACTTCCTGAGATATTCCAACTGGAAGAAGCAATAACTGAGAGGAGGAAGGTTTGATTTTAAAAAAAAAGTCTGTATAATGAAATACTAAAAGAAGGACAAATTTGATTCATTTGTAGACAATGGGTGCACTTGGAAATAAATCAGACCCAGAAGCTTAAATACCACACGGTATCTCTCCTTTGCGCGAGGCAAAGTACGAAGAAAGACGATGATAAAGGATATCCAGAAAGGGACAAAGGGATGGATCTCTTGCAAATGGGAAGAGGTCGAAGAGACCAAGGGCGAAGGATGGGAGAAGGGGAAGAGGAAAGAAGTAGAATATGGAAATGCCAGGTGCTGGAACCTAATAGCCTCGGCCGATATAAACATTACATGCTATAACACGGGCTGAGATTAATAATATGAACAAGAATGGAAATAGGGAAAGGGAAATTAGAGGACGAGGGAGAGGAGGGAAGGGAAAGGGATTTAAAAAAAAAAAGAAAGAAACAAGATATATTATGCACATGTACCCATTCCCCAAGGTGACTGCAAATGGTACTGCAAACACATATTAATAAGAATGAAAAATGAAAAATAAAAACCACAAAACTAAAAGTAACTATATGTGTAAAGTAAGAATATTTTTAAAATATTTAGGTGCTAAGAAGTAGAAATTTTACCACACATAAATCCCTCAACATTAAGGTATTAAAAAGGATAAGTTAGCGAAGACGGAATATGGTTCATGTAAATTAATGAAATAAAACTGATACAAATCATTTACATTTAACTAGTATTTTACACATTTAATGGTTTGAAAATGTCTTATTAGAAAACTATTATTAGTTGTTTATAAGAAAAATGGTAGTTGCTTTTAAAAATTAGCTGAATTTATAATTCTTATCACATTCTCACATGAATCCTTGGTGTCAGAAATAAAGAAAAACATCTTTTCATACAGCCATTACCTAGTTAGTTCATATCATTCCCTGAGCCACCAATTGTGAAATGATCTTTTTAAACTGATATGTGTACTTCAACATATACAAAACTCTGAAGGCCTAAATAAGGGATGGGCTCTTTCATACCTCCTTCCCACTATCTTCATTCTTTTATTTATGACTGAACCGTCCATTTGCTGCATTATTCTAATTCCTTTTCTGCAATCTTCACCCACTCAGCGATTTGCAGTTAGTGGCCACGTGATTTAATTCAGCGAGCAGGCACAGGCCGTTGCTTCTCGGGCTGGGAAACTGCTACCATTCCCACCTATCTAATTTGCAAGCAGTGGTCACGGAACTGGCTCTATGTAGCCAGCTAGGAAGCAAGAATCCCCAAGAAAGTGGCTCCCAAAGTTTACTGACATGAGAGGCCTCTGGACAAGAGTGCAAACACACAAGCCACATGTGTGGAAATGCCGGCTTCAGATGGATCTGGGCCGATGCCCCAAAATCTGCAAGTTTTTCAACCCAAGAGATTCTGACATAGGTAATCAATGTCCCCTGAGCCGGGCACCGTGGTTGTCTAAGCACCTGCCAAGGACCTGCTTACTCTGGATTCTAGGTTTGTGTGTAGCTGTGAGCTGGGAGCAGTAAGTCTTTTACATCATTTCTCAATTGACCTACTGTTCAGTGGAGCTCCAGTCTTGTTGATTTGAAAGATGGGTATCCTTTCCAGACTAGGCCACTCACTCACACTCCTTGCCGTGCATCCCCAGCTCAAGCCACCCCTGGCATGCTGTGCACTGCACCCCAGGACTGCCTGTGGCACCCACTCTCTTTCAGTCACCTCTGGGTTTGGTTTTCAGTACTACTTACGGCTTACGAAGGCTGCAGAGAAGCCCTGGGCTGGCGCCTCCTGAGACTGGAATGCCAAAGTGAATGCATTTCTTGGTATGATGATGGGGCTGGGTGCCACGTCCCCACACCATGTGCTCAACAGGTCCACAATGGTCTGCTCAGGTCCTGCCCATACCTAGCAGGGTCACAAGCAGGAGTTAGTACCCGTGGTTTTCTCCTAATGATACTTTAATGTGCTTAGGCTTTAAGATAATGGTCATCAGGTACATATAGAAAAAACATAATAGTAAATAAAACACAAGCAAATCTGAAATAGTTAAGTTGATTTTCAAATATTCTGTCCCCGTTTGACTTCCAAAAGAGTCGTGTTTATTTTTGTTTCGCTATGGATTTTAAAAACTCAATCACTATCATATTCTTCTGAACTTCCAGTTGACCCAATCTAGCTGAGATTGCCTTCCCAAGACACATCTGCCAATGTCTGGAGGCATTTGATCTTTGGGGTGGTAATATCTAGAGGGTGGGGACTGGGGCTATCAATAAACACCCAAGATTCTTCCCATCCCCCGTCCCCCACCACACACAGCTGAGAATTACCTGGTCCAAGAAAGTAATTGGACATGGGCAGTCTCACTCAACCATTCAACATTTTCTTCACCTCAAATTATACAAATTTATTCACTTTGAATATATCTCTTTCAAAGATATTCCTCAAGTAGAACAATAAAACATCAAGCCATAATAAGGGAGATTTCAATTGGGAAATCAGCCAAAGGAAGAAGTGTGAAATAGCACTGATTCATGGCACTGATTTAATATTTCTTAGCTCTTTAAGGCCATGTCATTTCAATTGATTTTCAAACACTGGGTATCTAGTTAGTCACCTCACTGCAGACAAATCATATTTGCCATTTATTAGATACAGTAGGTGTCTGGCACTAGAGGTACTGAGAATGAAAGTACAGATATTCTGCCAAATGCTTAAGATGAATAAAAATGTCAGGAAAGGGACATTTTACTTAACACCTCCAATTTTACTTAAGGTTTAGGTTAAAACTCTAAAATTGTTTCCTCTTAATCAATTATCTAGGGAAACAGTGAACAAAATTTCTTATCTACATTTTTTTGTTTGTTTTTTTGGTACGGGGGATCGAACTCGGGACCTTGCGCTTGAGCGGCAGGCGCCGGAACCACTGAGCTAAATCCCTGGCCCTTATCTACATTTTATAAAATGATGAACATGACTTACTGAGAAATAAGTATTTGCACTATTCTGACAAAGATTATTACATTACTAAAAAGATAAAGATTACTAAATAGTAAGAAGAACATTTTAATAAAGAACCTCAAGTTTTTTTTTGAACCTCAAGTTTTTTAATGAACAACTTCAAACATGTTCAAGTGCTTAAAGTTTTCTGTAGTCATTAATTATGAATCTGACATTTGTACCTCTGACCTAAGAATATATGGTTAATAAGGATGATGCCAAAGATGACACAGTTACCAAGTACCTGGTGCCTCCCTGTCAGTCTAGAACTCATTTCACTGGCTGCGTGACCCAGGACTCATCAAAACTATATTGAATCTACAAAATGTCACCAAATTGCCATTTGGTCAAAAGCTCTCTGACTTGTATTAGAGTTTTATATAATTCAGCCTTGCTGCAAGTTATATTTTACTACACAAATAAGTTATTTTTTTAGAAAACAAGTGTTTATTCACATAATTACAGATTCTCACGCAGTTGTAAGATATAATACAGAGAAATCCTTGCACATAGTTCTGTCCCCTCAACTTTCATAACCAGGTTATTGACATATTTCAAAACTATTCATAATCAGGTTGTTGACATATATGCAACCCACCAATTCACTTGTACTTGTGTAAATGTATTAATTTACATACAAGTTGTACACACAACTGCATTCAAGATACTGTACAGCTGCAACCCCAGGAGGATACCTACAGTTGTCTTTTCATGACTGTGCACAGTTTACTCCCACACTCCTTTCTCTAAGCTCTGCCTATTTGCTCTCCATTTCTAAACTACAGTCATTTCAAGTATTAGATAAATACTTCTTTGAAGACAATCAACATCATCTGCACCATCTACTGACAGTTTTATCTTTGTCCAACCAGTATGTCTTTTATTTATTTTGCTTCCCTCATTACAATATCTAGAACTTTTAGTATTATGTTGAACAAAAGTGGTGAAAATGAACATTCTACCTTTTACCAATTTTACAGGCAAAGTGTTCAATCTTTCACCATTGAGTATGAGAATACCTGCAGGGCTTTTTTATAGATGCTTTTATCAATTTGAATAATTCCTATCTATTCCTAACTTTCTGGGAGTTTTTACTATGAATCCATGCTTGATTCTGTAAAGTTTTTCCTATACCAATATATGATTATATGATTTTTTCTTTAGCATGCTGATATGATCCAACACACCATATTTTCCAGTGTTGGATCAATAAGCCCATTTGGAGTAAACCCCACTTATTCATAGTGTATACATCTTTTCATATGTCATTAGATTTAGGTTGTAAGAAAAAATTAAGAATCTTTGCATCTAAGTTCGTAACATATAGCCTCCATTTTTTTTGTAAACTGCTTTTAGCTGGTCTTGGTATCAGAGTAATTCTTGTCTCATAAAATAAATTGGGAAGTGTCTATTTTCTGAAAGAAACTAAAGTTGGTATGAATTTTTTTAATTAATAGAATTTTTCTAGAAGAATCATTTCTGGAGATCTCTTTTTCAGGAGCTTTTCAATTACAATACAATTGCTTGAATAGTCATAGGACTATTTTGATTTTCTATTTCACATGGTTGAATTTTGGTAGCTTGTGTTTATAGTGGGCTAAGTAGTGGCCCCTGAAAGATATATCCATATCTAAATCCCCAGATTCTATGACTCTTACCCTATTTGGAGAAGGGGTATTTTCACATGATCTAATTAAGGACCCTGAGATGAGGAGGTCAGCATGAATTATCTAGATGGGCTTTAAATACAGCAAGAGTCCTTACAGGAAGCACAGAAGAGAGACACAGAGGTAAGAAGGAGACATGGTGACCACTGAGGATAAGACTGGAACAACGTGGCCACCAGCCAGAGTGCTTGGAGTCGGCAGAAGCTTGGAGAGGCAAGAAATAATGTGTCTCACAGAACCTTTGGAAAGAGCTGCTGCCATTGACTAGGGACTTCCGGTTCCCAGAACTGTTGGAAAGTAAATTCTTGTTGTTGGAAAGTAAATTCTTGTTGTTGAAAGCCACCGAGTTTGTGATAATTTGTTATGGCAGCAGTTTAAAAGAATTGGCCCACTGGTCCAGAGCTGTTTAACTTATGAACATAAAATTGTTCATAGTATTCTCTAAGCATCTTTCCAGTGGCTGCAAGGTTTTGGTGATATCCCGTGTTTCATTCCCATTTGATATTGGCGATTGTGTGCACTTTCCTTTTATTTTTATCAACCTTGCTATCAATTTTTTTCAAACCATCTTTTTGTTTTCTTGATGTTTTTCTATGGACTTCCTATTTTTGGGATCATTAATTTGTTTTCATCTTTATTATTTCTTTACTTCTGCTGGCTTCAGATTTATTTTACTCTAGTTACTTGAAGTAATAACTTTATGAATGATTTCAGACTTTTATTTCTCTTTCGTGCTATAAATTTACTTTTTATCACAGCGTTAGCCACATGCTACACATTTTGATACGTCTTAGTTTCATTTTTACTCTAGTCTATGTAGTTTAACATTTTCTTTGACTCGTCTCTTTGATTCATGAATTCTTTGCTTAATATCTATACACGTTTACAGATTTGAGGAGTTTATCTCCCTGACAAAACCCACGCGTGAATGCTCAGGGCTTCCCACAGGCAACCACCAGTTTTACACGGCAGGCCTCCCTTGGGTCCTTCTCAGACTGGGCTCAGCACAACCAATACATTGCAGTGTCTGGAGGAGGTGCAGTCAGGACTCTGGGCCCCATGGCCAGCTACGTTTTTGCACATATCTGCAGGCCCAGCCTGGTCCTTCACTTGGAGGTCTCCTTTCCTAAGGTCTCCTTTCCTAGACTCTTGCCAGGAACATTTGCAAAGATGTCTTTTTATCAGGGGGATAAGAAAATTGAAAACGTTCTTCTCCATTTGGAATCAGTACTGAGAACTTTGTATCATTTTTGTTTGGGGCTCACTGAGCATGAGACAATCCCTATATCTACATTGATCTACTTGATCTTTATCAGGTGTTGTTCCATAAAGAATAAGTTTCAGCGAGAGAGCACTTTTACTTCTTTAGTTTCTTGCTTACACTTCTGCAGTACGTGATTAAAGGCTTGCTTGTGACGTTCACTTTGGCTGCTTGTTTTAATGACTACACTGATTCATTCCAGGTTAGTTCTCTCCAGATCAGCTCAACCTTTGGCAAGATTTCTGTTATTGCTTTTTAGCTTGCTTTTGATATGGTCAAAGAGAACACTCTGTATTTCAATTCTTTAACTTGTTGAGGTGTTTTGATGTCTCAGTGTATAATACATCAGTATGTTCCAAGGATACTTAAAATGTGTATTCTGCTGTCCTTGTAGAGTTTATTCTGAATATGTCCATTATATACCATTGGTTGATGGTTTTATAGAGTTCTACATCCTTGGTTACTATCCTTCTCTTGTCCTATCAATTGCCAACAGTGTTGAAGTTCTCAACTGTAATTGAAGATTTATCTATTTCTCTTCACAGCTGTCAATTATTGCTTCATGTATTTTGTAGCTCTGCTGTTTGATGCATACATATTTAGAATCATTCTGTTATCCTGGTGGATTGACCCTTTCATCATTATCTAAGATCTCTCTTCTGATGCAGTAGTAATTTTCCATACTCTGAATTCTACTTTATCTGATATATTATTGCCATTCTTGCTTTTTTGAATCAATATTTACATAATATGCCTTTTTTTTATCTTTTAACTTTAACTCTACCTATGTGTTTCAATTTGAAGTGATTTTATTATCACTTGGACAAAACATGTCTCCAATAATCATTATATTTTGATCGGTGTAACTGAACTATTTATAATTAAACTATTGATATGTATTTGTGCTTTGTCTGCCATTTTATTGTTTACTGTCTATTTAATGCTACTGCATCTTTTTCCTGTTATGCTTTTTAAAATTTCTTGGGGATCTATTTTGATTGAAGTATAGTGGTTTTGGGTTTATCTCTTCGTATAATTTTGGTAGTTGTCATCATTCTGGGTGTGAATATAATGTGTTATTATAATCATGTACAAGCATCCACACTGGACCACCTTGAATGAAGTGTGGAAGGTCGAGGTCTATTTAGGTCCCTTTACTTCACTGATTTATTTATTTTCTTGAGCAACAGGAGGTACTATCATGTTTGTTCTAGTTATTAAATATTACTCATAAAACTACAAAGACAGTTCTATCGTATGCAGACATTTCTGCTCTTTATATGTTCCTTTTTCCTTCTGAATAGTCCAAGATCCCTTCTTGTATCATTTCATTTTGTCTGATAAGCTTCCATGTGATAATCTGTAATGGTAGTCCCCTAGTGGTAATTTCTTTTAGTTTCCCTTTAAATGACAGCATTTTGTTTCTTCCTTATTCCTAAAGGATAATTTTCCAGATATAAAGTTTTTGGTTGAGACTTCCTCTATTTGAGTGCTTTCTTGTTTCTTTGGCTGCTCTTTCAATTGCATCCTCTTCTCTCCTTGAGGGACTGTAGTAATATGGATGTTGGACCTTTTATTATGGTTCTGGGATCTAAGGCTTTTATGTTTCTCCAGTCTCCTTTGTCTTGATTGTTCAGAGGGAGTGAATTCTATTATCCCATCCTCAAGTTCATCGATTCTTTCCTCTCTCATCTGAGTTAACCCAACAAGTTGTTTACAGTCTATTTTTCAGTTCCATAATTCCCATTTAGTCTTTCATTATAATCACTATTTCTTTTTTTTTCATTAAATTTATCGGTACATTTTAGATATGCAATGTAATGACATTCATCATTGGGAATTTGTACCTTTACATGATATATCTCAGTTCTTACTTTTCCCCATTCCCCTGGCCCCCTTCCACCCCTCCATCCCCCCCACATTTATAAAGACTTTGTTTCCATTTTTTCCTTTTCTCATATTTTTTCTTTTCCCTTCTTTCCTTTCCCCTACCCCTCCTACTTCCTCTTCTCCTTTAGACGCTTTCTTCCTGTTTCACATTATCTATTATACGTTTTGATTCTCATTTACACTTTCAGTTTCTCATACCAGGGAAACTATTCGGTATTTACACATGTGCGTCCTATTTATTTCACTTAAGAGTATGGCCTCAATGTGGATCCATTTAGCTATAAATGTCTCTAGTTTCTCATTCTTTATGGCTCAGTAGTATTCCATTTTATTAAAAAACAACAACAACAAAAAAAAAAACAGGCAGGGGATTTAGCTCATGGTTTCGCAGCCTGCTGCACAAGCTCAAGGACCCAAGTTCAATCCCTGGTATCAAAAAAAACCACCAAAAAACAACCACATCTTCTTTATCCAGTCTCCAGTTGATGGGCAATTGGGCTGTTTCCATGTTTTAGCTATCACAAACTGTGCTGCTATAAACATGGGTGTGCATATACTGCTCTGGTATGATTCTTTTAATTCTTTTGGGAAGATACCCAGCAGGGCAATAGCTGGGTCAAATGGGACCTCTAATCCTAGTTTTTTGAGGTATCTCCACGCTGATTTCCACAGTGGTTGCACCAGTCTGCATTCCCACCAACAATGGAGAAGGATTCCTTTCTCCCCCCATCCCCACCAGCATAGCATTTGTTATTGGTTGAGATCTTGATGTTCTTTTGCTTTTTGGCTTTTTTTTTTTGGAACCAGGGATCAAACTCAGGACCTTGTACTTGCAAGCCAAGCATAGTGACACTGGGCTAAATCTTTGGCCCTTATAATCACCGTTTCTTAATTGAGATTTTATATTTTTATTTGTTCTGTCAGTGATAGTTGGAGCATTTTTATGACAGCTACTTCAACATCTTTGTCACGGAATTCTAACACATGAGTTATCTCAGTGGTGATATCATTTGATTGTATTTTTCTCATCACAGTTGTGATGGTCTTTGCTCTGTTATGATGGGTTCTTTTTATTGTATCCTGGACATTTTGTTTATTATGTTAGGAAACTCTGGGTCCTATTTAAATCTTTTATTTTAGCAGGCAGTCACCCTGTTTATGTTTTATATGTGATCTTGCATTCTTTTTTGGGCTGTGGTTCCAATGGCTATTTCATTTGCAGAATCTTTGGGGTGTAATTTCGGACTGCTTGGTTTATATGGTGCTACTGGGGTTCCTACTAGCTCTTGCGAGTGCTACCTGATGGAACAGAGGGTGCTTCATCTGGCAGGGGCTCCATGTGTCTCTCAGTTGAAGAGGAAGAATATAGTAGAAGTTCCTACCAATGATGCCTGGCCACGCCAATGTCTGTGGGTAGGGAAGGAACGACTCTGGCTCCTGGGGACCAAAAGGCTTCTTGGACCTTTGGCCATTCTGTCCATCTATAGTATCTTTGGGTGAAAGAGAATCTTGGGCTCAGAGGTAAAAGGGGCTTCCCATACAAGGATGCTTGCCATTGAGTTCTTCTTGCCCATTTAGTGTCTCTTGGCAGAAGGAGGATTCTCGGGTCCAGTGGGAGGAAAAGAGAACTTTCCTAGCACTTATTTTTGGCAAGGTTTGCAAATGATCTCATGCACTATGGGCTTGTGTGGTCAGAGGATCTTCTATTCTATTAGAGGATGAGTGAGCCCAAGTTATTTTTCAGCTTCAATTTTTACAACTGGAGAAATGAAGAGATTTAGTGAAGTCTGTACACTTGACACTGACTCATTACTGAGAAAAGAGTTCACTTATTTCATGGAAAAAGCAATTAGAAAAAGTGGATATTAAGTATGTCTTATTATGTGCATATTTTATATAAGTATTGGATTTTCATTTAAACAGGAAGTATGGATCAATAAGATATAAAACATAATTTGAGAGCTGATATGAAATAATAATAACATTAACAAAAAAAGCCATTTCCGCTCACTAGGTGATTTCATATTCCAAGTGCTGAACACTATTATGTTATGATATCATCTTACCTCTAATGCTTAAAACAGCCCTATTAAAGTAGGAGTCATTCTCTTCATCTTACAGTTGAATAATAGGAAACTTAAAAGTTTAATTAGCTCATAAAAGAACATGCAGGTGTTAACTATGAGAGAGAATAGAGTCCAGACTCCCGTGACCTTAGAATCAGTATTCTTTTCACTAAAAGGCATAGTCAGGCAGAGACATATAAGATACAGAGTAGCATGGATGAAATGAATTTATAACTACTTCAGTGCTGGTCACTGGAAAGTGAAAGTGCCCCGTGAGCAGGATCTACAACTTTGGAGAAAGACATCCTTGCTGACTGCCCCACTGCACTCATTTTTCTGTGGGTCTCTCATGGTCTTCTCAGCTTAGAGGATCTTAAGGCCCAAGGTGAAGACTGCATTAGCTGCTTCTCCAATTCTCTGTAATTTTTACAGGACACATTAAAGTTTGCCTGTGAGGCCACTGTGTTCTCTTGCATGGCGGCTCACCCTCCCATTCCAGGGGGTGCTTCTTCTCCTACTTTTACGTGGCTCAAACTCAGTCTGCAGAGCCTATTTTTTTCCTGTCTTTAAAAAAACTTTGCAAAAAAATAAAGTTTTCCTGTGATTGTACCTCGAATTGTAAAGGTATTTGTGCTTTAGAATCTATTAGAAAAAGAAGGAAGGAAGGAAGGAAGGAGGAAGGAAGCCTTCTCTCTTTAGTTTTCACAGAAAGAATAATTAATGATCAATTAATGAATTTGATAGGGTCAGAGAAACATCTCAACTGAGTTACCATTTCTAGATATTAGCAAATGAAAAATTTGCAGTGCAACATATGTATTGTGCCTCACATTTTAACTTCTATCCACTGAGGTTTCTCACTTTTATATCCAAGAAATGTGAGTGGAAAAACTGTCCTTTTCTAACACTGAGAAATGACCGAGCCATCTGTAGCCTAAATGTTTATGCTCGCAAAGCTAGTTCGGCTCCAGTTAAATAAATAAGCGCACTAACCTTCACAAAGCTGTTCTGACACTGTGCATTGCCACTGGGGATTCGGAAGTTGCTGTCAAAGCTGATCTCGAAGTGTTTACTTTCTTGAGTTATGACTGTCCAGGAACATCTGCTATTTTCAGGGAAATTCTGTGGCCAGTGCGGCGATCTGATTGTACCATTGTCTGAATGAAATATTCCACCACAACCTGAAAATTTTTCATGGAAAAAGTCATCAGTCTGCAAGGAAAATACCAATCCTGGAAACTTGAGACTGCTAGAGAAGAAACATTTCTAAATGTGAGCTCTAAGTTCATTGTTCCTTACACATGACTCATCTTTGAGGTAGGTTCTCAGCAAGAATTCTCTATAAATATAAGGCACAATGAATCAAAATCAAGAGGACACTTCAGCTGTTCCTGTTTTGTCACATGTATGCTGAATTACTCACCGTAAAGCAGATAGGCCTCTATACTGTCTTCAAGCAAAGGCAATATTGCTTACTTTCCTTGAGGTAGTATAGTACGTATGGCAAGGCAATGCAAGTTCAGTATTTTATTACCACTAACACATGAGAATACGACTCTATATTCATTTGTAATTTTACTCTAACATACTGGACACTATTTTGAATTGTGGAAAATTTCTCCAATTAAGTGATCTTAGTCATTCATATTGAAATTGACTGATGAATGAAAATAAATTACAGAATTTAAAGAAAGAAAAATCTAGAATTATTTTCATACTCTTTTTTTTTTTTTTGGCACCAGGGATCAAACTTGGGACCTTGAGCTTGCAAGGCAGGCAGCAGAACCACTGAGCTAAATGCCCGACCCTATTTTCACACTCTTAAAATGAAAAAGAAAAATATGAACTCGACACAAAATGAAGTTAAATTAAAGGGCACTCTCTGCATCTTTTGCTATTATTTATCTCCCTGGAAACTATTTGTTCATCTCACACTCATTTATGACTTCAACAGTAGGCTTTAAGTAGCCTTTAAGCAAAGGTTGGACTCATTCTAGAGTCCATAATAATAATACGGCCCATAAATTCCATAATAACCTTTACTCTCCAAGCAAGAATTGTCCTGTGAAGCATTTAGGATTTTCTGAAATCCTAAATAAAGTATCTGCCACAGGTTCTTATATTTTGAGAATTTTCACAAGGCTTCTCAAATCTGTTATGTCTTGACTCAGGACTCATGTGGTATAGCACTTGTTCTAAATCACAAAACTCTTCAACAGCTCTTCCTTGTTCAGGGGCTAATATATAAACGGCGACTCCTCATGATCCAGACTATTATTTCCCTGCCCTTACCTCTCTAGGCATTCTCCCTTTAAGTTCCAAATATTTTAAATGACTGTGATTCCAACACTTGTCCCTATTACTTGAGGTTCCCTGGTCGTTCCATGGCTTTTTGTCCATAGAGACTGGACCATGAAGTGCTACGATCAAAGTTTCTAGGCTTAACTGGCTTTTATTCAAATCCTGATTACCAATTTCAGCCATATGTTTTAGTCAAATTGCCAATCCACTTAATCCTCAGTTTCTGTCCAGGCAAAACACAGGAGATAGATGTTGATATTGTGTTATCTTTCTATAGTTGCTACATAAAATGATAGGTGTAAATAGTTAGGATTAAATCTAACAGAGCAGGTGCAAAATGTATGTATGGTTGGTGTTCCATATCAGCAGTTCTGTATCCACAGCTTCAACCAATAGCAGAGCACAGAAAAAACATTCATATCCATCAAAAAGGTACAGAGTATTTTTCCTTGCCTTTATTCACTAAACAACATGGTATAATAACCATTTACATAGCCTCTTTGTGGTATTAGAGATTATAAATAACCTAGGTATGATCTAACACATATGAGAGAATGCACATAGGTTATATGCAAATACTATGCCATTTTATACAAGGAATTTGAGCATCTGAAGATTTTTGTGTCTGCTGGAGTTATGGAACCAATTCCTCTCTTATTCCAAGGAATTACTATATTTTAAATTAGATAAGAAATTATGTCATTGAAAAAGTACAAGTGTAGAGTGAGAAGGTTTTATTTACCTAAAGTTTGAGTGCTCCATGTGGCATAAAATCCGTGACTTTGCATTGACTTGTCTGAGTTAAAAATCACCGTGAGCTGGTTGGAACCAGACTGTATTGTCCTGGGGTTTGAGTTTCCACAGTACTGTCCTATAATGGGTGACTCAGGGGAGCCACCATTCCTGACAGTGACCGAGTCCCACGCACAGGCTGAGTGAGTTTCAATATCAAAGTCACTGAATGTAAGCTGCAGAAGAGAAAAGAAAGACTGAGGCATTCTGAGCTGTAAATGAGTTTATCTACCTTGAGGGAGATAAAATCCTTACACATATTTGTATTTTGTGTTAATTCACATAATTCTGTGTTCCTATTTCTTCTTTATTCTCTTCTCCTCTCGACTCTTTTTCCTTATTAAAATCTCTCCCGAAAATCTAGAGAAGTGCTTTCTCTCCAGGTAGTGGAGTCATTCATGGGACTCCAGAAGTGCCCTGCTCTAGACTGCAGCTCAGACTGAGAACACGGATACACCTCTCTCCCGGACACGGCTTCGTCTTCTATGCACAGACTCTCCTAAACATGAACAACGTGGCATTTTTCAGAAATCACAGATGTGTAGACACCACGTGAGATACCTAGTGAGAGGATTTTAGGGAGGAACAATGATCTAGCTGCAGAATCAAAGCCTGCTCAAGTCACTTGCTTCGTAAACAGCTCCAGTCCCATGACAATCTTAGAAGTATTTTGTTGACTCGTAAGAACTCACAGTGATGGTGCGTCCTACTGGGGCTTCCACCAACCACGCACAGTGGGCTAGGCTTCTGTAAAAGCCAGGATAGTTGGGGCTTGTGATCACTCCAGCCTCTCCTGTCTGTATTCCACCACAATCTGAAATCAGATGTGTAACCCTCTAAATAAGGCAGAAGGAAAAACCCCACGAAGGCATAGTTGTATTTATAGTCACATACTTTATGATAAAATACAATGAATGAATAAAATAAAAAGTGAAATTAGGTGTAATAATATAAACAAAAGAATCTCAGATACTGTTAACTGAACAGAATTACTCAATGAATACAGCCTCAAGTACAAAGGGGAAGGAAGATTAACTGTATTATATATAATTGGACGTGTTGTGGAACTTACAGTAAGTGCACTAGTGACAGAGTAAATAACATTGCCTTTCTTGAAAAAAAACCTGGGCCAATGAAAATATAGACAAGCTTGAAGAAATGATCAGTGCCATAATCAAACACTGTCATTTGATAATAAGCACATACTCAAGAATCAAGTTATACATGACTATAATAAGTTGAAAAGATGATACATTTATAAAGCTTGAATGATCTTATGTGCAACGCACATAACACTGCTTCTTGAAGCCTGACTCTTTTCTTTCAATTTGACAAAACTAAACTGGAAAGGTGGTTGAGTGGGTAAATAAAATCCTCACTCCTTCAACCAGCCGTTTGGTTATAACACAAAGAAATGTTGGATAAAACTATAAACAAAACATATTTTGATTCATACTTAAACCCAATGGGAAAAATGGGGGGCTCTCCAAAATCTATCAGCAGTAAGTGCTGAAATTTGGAGGGGTCATCTCAAACAGAAAGTGTGGTGGTCTGGGAAAGTAAAGAACCAAGACGCGTGCCTGGGGGCTGGGGCCTGAGTTTCTGGTGACCAAGCAGGAAGATAAGATATGACTTTGGACTTCCAGAAAAGGAAGGGTGGGAACTGAGCCTTTTACACAAAGTTGAGAATTTAAAAAGGATGGCTTATTAGTGGAAAGGAACTGGAAAAATCTCTAATAACCAAGAGAATCAGCAAGGAGTAGTGCTACATATTTTGGGCTGAATTTTCAGGTATAAACTCTAAATGTCACAGATGTAAAGTTAATATGAAATATTAGCAAATAATAAGAGTGCGGTAATAAGAGTAAAACATAGGTCATGAGCAAGTACAGTTTATTCTGGCAGTGTAAGAACAGTTTGCTAAGAGAAAAACATTTCTAAAATATAAAAAGAAGAAAAACAAGATCATCTCAATAAATGAATAAAAATATTTGATAAAATATTGATAAAATCTTATACCTATTCCTAGTTTTTAAAAATTTTGTCATTAAGAATTAACTTTCTTTAATCTGAAAAAGGGTTTTTGAAATCTAAGAGGGACCAACATGTTTAATAATGTCATAGACATTCACATTAAGGTCATCATCTTTTCTATTTAATATTATAATAGCAGCCTTAGCAAGTGAAATAAGACAAGGGAAGAAAATGAAGTATTTACTTAAGGGCAGAAAAGAAAAAAAACTTTCATTTGCAAGGGAAATTATTACTTACATTGAAAAACCAAAAAAGAATTAAAGACAGAGTATTAAAACCAGTAAGAGTGTAACATGACCTCTAGAAGAAAGGTAAATGTATAAAAATTACAAAATTCTTAGCTATCAACAATAAATTATTAAAATGTAATTTGGAAAAATCTCATTGGCATTACCCAAAAAACTACTACCTCAAAACAAATCTCACAAAATATCTGTGATATCTTTCTGGAAAAGATTATAACAAGTTTAACTATGATTTTATTGCCGGAGCATGAGATTATAGTCTTACCTGTGAAGAAATACTCTGCGTGGAATCCTGTGTGTTCTTCACGTTCGTTCGTGACAAAGTGTATCCACACCTGAGGATAAGGTATTACCAGTGGCACTGTTGGCTTTGTAGGGCCACAATATCTCCCTAATAGGGGCCCTTCAGAATCATCTGACAAAATAATACACCAAACGCCATTACTTACATAGCTTTTGAAAAATACATTTAATGAATTCAATAAGAAAAAATAATAAGCATTGGAAAAGTCACAAAGCCTCTCTGTCTTTGTTAACTCCCAAAGAAAGTGGACTAATCCAAAAACCAAAACAAACAAAAAACCTAGGATGTTTTGTTATAGACATGTCTCCACTATAGGTGTTAATTCATTTCAGTTTGTGTTTTCATAATTACTTTAGCATAGCTAAGCAGAGATATAGCTAATTTTAAAAAACCCTTTTGGGTAGGCCTTTTTCAGGGAGTAAAATATGTAATGGTGGTAAAATATATCCTCAGGATAAAGGTGGTAATCACCTAAACTTTTAAGGGTTTCCTCACTGTATTCAATCAACGAAAATGAAGAGAATATCCAGCACTTGAGCCAAGAGTGGTCAGATTTGAGCTGAATGTGTTTTATGAAGATTGCTTTTCACAGAAATTTGATTAACATCTATAGAGCACCTAGACAGCTCACATCTATCTGCTATTTATTGTGTCAGATGAACATCACTGACTTATAAATCAATGAACTATAGTATCTTAACTGTTTCAAAATCTGAAGGAATAAAGAGAACATGGCATTCGACTGAGTGAAACTTTATATACAGCTGTTTTGCTTGATTCTATAAGCCATAGTTTTGAAGCAGGTAGAAGAGGTGGAAGTTTAACAGGTTTTCATAGAGAGCATTCTTAAACTACAAATCTCATTTCCCTCATAAGACCTTTCTAGACTCATCAACCTCAGAGAGTTAGGATGATTCTCTTGTTGAAGTCCTTGGTCTGTGAACGTAGATTGTATCACATTCTCCTACCACCGATTTCTATAACTGTCCAAGAACATCTCCACCAACTAACCAACCTTTTCTGCTTTCAGTTTCTTTTCTCTAAATTTTTGGATAAAGTAGAATTCAGCAAGTCGCTGATAGCACAGATTGTCTACAGTATTATTTTCCTCTATTTATGTATATATGTATTTATTAGGAAACAACCATGACATAGGGTCTAGTGCAAACACAAATCCACTCCACTAATGCTCTAGTGCATTTTTCCTCTGCTGGGAACAAATGGATTTAAGGTTTTGTTTCAGTAGTTCTTTTGGATCTTATGTACTTATACAGTGGCCATTAACTCCTTTGATTGTTTGTGGTCTTCAAGTGTATTAGCCAGATTTGGTTGCTGGAACAAAATACCTGACACCTGCAACTTAAAGGAGGAAAGCTTTATTTTGACCCCCTTGGACAAAGGCTACAGTGACTGGATGGTTAAGCATGGTGAAATAAGTCCTAGGGAACCAAATCCCAGTGAGGTCCTTTGAGTAGAAGCCCAGGGGCCCTGTTCAAAAATGAAAGGTTTATATTTTTGTACCCTGAGCCCATGCTAGGAGGGGTATTTCTGGTTCCTGAGATGCTATCAAGACAGCTTTCTCCTTCTCTTAGTTCACAGTACTTTGTTTTGTTACTGGTGCTAATCTCTTCAGCAACCACCCTCTTTTGGCCCCAAAATTATACATGTCTCCAAGTTTTTAAAAATCTTTCTGCTCTGCTCTTTGTTCCTTATTCTCACTACAAATCTGGCTAAAAGCAGCCAGCGATTCCCATGCCACAGCCTGGACACTGGGCTGCCTTGAAAATTCCTCTGCCAGATCAGTCTACTGCCTTTTAAACAGCTTCATACAATGTTGTAGGCCATAGACAAAATGTATACAAATTCTTTGCCAAAATGTAACACAAATGGCCTCTGATCCAATTCCTAGTGCAGCCCTCATTCTCAACTGACGCCTCATGAACCTGGTCTTTAGTCTCCCCATTTGTATCAGCATTCTGGTCTTCACTGACTGGAATCATCCATCAATCTTTGCTTACAGCACCTGTGGCTTTCTGTAGATTGCTTCTTGAAACTTTTCCAAACTCCTCCTGCAAGTCAGCACCAAAAGGTTTCTAAACCACTTGGTGAGGTATAGTCAAAGCAATGACCCCACTCCTCTGGCACCAATTTTTTGTATGAGTCAGATTTCAGTTGCTAGGAAAAAATATCTGACAATTCCAATTTAAAGGAGGAGAGATTTCTTTTGGCTCACAGTTTCAGAGGTTTGAGACTACGATTGGCTGGCTCCAAGGCAGGGATATCATGATAGCGGGGCACAGTGGAGAAAAGATGCTCACTTCATGGGGCTAGGAAACTGAGACTAGAAAGAGAGCCAGAGAGGAAGGGGCCAGAAACTAGTCTCCAAGGTCACACCTCCATGACACACCAAGAAACATTCAAAAGTGTGCTTTACTAATAATCCCCAAGGTGTCACTCAAGCCAATCAAGTTGACAATCAAAATTAACCATCACACCATGCATAAGAAGAATACTGTAAATAAATGAGAGAATGTGTTCTTTGATTGAACTCACCTGCTCGAAACTCAAGGACATCAGATTGACAATCTTGATGACTTTCAAGGGAGAAAGCCACAAAATTAATATAAATAGATGAATTTTCCCGATTTGGATTGCTGAGAGTCCATTCACAGTTTAGGTTTCTTGAGTAATTACTGACTCCATCATAACCAGGAGAAGTAAAGTTTCCTTCGGGGGCATTGGTAAGAAACCCACCACACACTAAGAAAACGAATGACCACAGAGAAATTAATGGTAAAATTTATGCTGTAACAGGAGATACCAATAATCCAAGAACAGAAATTAAAATAACAATAGCACAATTACTCTACTGATTTGTTTTTCTAGACACAGTCAGGGTTGTTGATAAAAGGCATGTAGACCATGGAAGAAATTTCTGTGGGTTGATGAAAGAAAGGCTGGCACAAATAAAGTGTGTTTATTTTCCTATTGGTTTAGTGTAGATGGCTGAGATGTGGCTGATAATCAGTACCTTTAAATTGTGCTTAATGTTCACTACTATTTAACAGAGAGGAGCACCTATATATATTGGTGGTAAGTCCCAATAACTTCTGATTAGCAATTCTCTACTTGATTCAAAAAATTAATTGGATCAAAGTATAACTGGGGTGCCAATGAATTTGCAATTTTATATGGTAATGAATGCCTCTTATACCAGTGAAATAACTTGAAGAGCTTTTTTAAAAATTCAATTCCACTCCTTCTAAATTTTAAAACCTTCACATAATAACACCAATCTAAAAGTCAGAGAATATTTATAAGCAGAGGTCACATCTTGCTCCCTTTTTCAGATTCTACATCAAATGCAAACCCTCCATTCATCTGCCGGAAATGTATATATGGATCGGTGACTAAGACAGTAAAATGTGTCTTTGGGACCAAGTTTACTTCTAAAAGGTAGACGGTATCTTCAACACAAAAGAACTGACCAAGGACTGTGGATTTCACTCAAATCCTAATGGCAGTGGAATTGTGCTAAATGCTCATTTAACAATATTTTTTAAAAGGTTATAATTTACAACAGTAGTTTTCTTTCTGCATTAAAAAATCTTTTTTGTCAAGATTGGATTTCTGTTTGCTTATATCTGTTTGCTTCATGTTGAGGATTCTAGGCATAATTTTAGTGATCACCAAGGAGCAGATAGAAGGCTCTTCTGCTGATAGTGGTGCCTGTGGGCATGTGGAGTGTAGCTGATTAAAAGGGGGTGCGTTCCCAGCACCCTACATTACCTGCATCTTCACTGGATGTATAGGAAGCACTGAAGCCTCCATATGGCCGGGATCCATCCGTGAAAAACACGACTTTCATTGTGTTTCCTGAAGACTTTATCGCATTGCTTACATTTACGCTACTACACAGCTTCTCAAGCTGAGGGGAGTTACTTCTAATGCCATTGAATATCTGTTGGAAAAATAGTTTAACTTTTAGATATGCAGTTTGTCTTACAGAATATTCCCTAGAAGATGATATTCACAGCCCAGACTGGCTTCCATGTGAGGGAACCTTGGACTAAAACTAATTAGCAATGCAGGCTTCCATCCTAGTATCACAAGCCAATACATTACCCTGAACACATATAGTGGCCTTAGGGTCATTTTATTAAAATGAAAATATTGTAGAAATGCCCTCCTACCATGTGGAGACAGGTGAAAGACCACTCTACACTTTGCCAGTGGAAACCACAACCAAAATGTGAAGTCAGTGTGCGTGGTGCTTATACCATAGTTCACAGAGTTATTGAGGGGCAGTTTCCTTAATAATGCATTAGGACCTTTGATATTTGGGGGTAAAGGCATAAATGTTAGTCTCTGGTGGTTTAAAGTATGTAATGTTTCAAATATTTTAAAATACCTTAAAAATTAATTTACACATCAATCTCAATATAAATATAATGGTTCTTTCTTAGTTATGGATTCCAAAGATTCAATTTTCTTACTCATGTGACTTTTTAAAAAATGGATCAGAGTCTTATCGACTCCACAATATTAAATAATAACTCTAGTTGTTTACATAGTTACGACAATTGGCAAAGAATTTTTTTTTTTGCTGCTATATAAAACCAAGTGAATGTTTTAGGATGCCTGCTTTTCAGAGTTCAAAAAAGATACAGAAGAAGTAATTAAATAATAATTCATTGATTGAGTGATTGGTATTCCTGTTTTTAGAAAGCACATGAATGGCTCAGAATTAGAAATAATGACTCAGACTATGGCACTAAAAGCCCTGCAGAGGAAGAAGCACTGTACTGCAAAAGATGTAACCTTTTTAATTTACTATAATTGATTGTTAAGTTTAGCTCTTTGGGGGCTTCTGCTTTAAAATTTCAAGACCAGACAAAAATTGTATATCACTTATTGAACAGACACAAGGCCACTGCCTGCTAATCACCCATTCAGACTATCTTGGACATCAGCACAGCACGCTCCCAGGCATATACGGATGCCCTTTTCCAGATTGAGACCACTAGAATACAGAGATTTGCAATTTGTGGATGATCAAAGAACAAGGGATATTTGAAGTAGGCTTCAAACCCTGAAATGAAGTAGAAAGAACCAGAAAGGTGACAAACATTTCAGTCATACTGAAAACAAGAATGGGCAATACATACTCAGAATGAAAGGGGATTATAACCAACTCGAGGCCACTGAGACACGTTGCAAACCATGACCTGTGGCCTTCATCCCTGCCCGTGCTGCCCCTGGTGTAGAATCACAATGACTAAAACTTGGACAGTCGTCCTTCAATCACATGGACAGCTGCCTTGAGAAGCAACCAGAGCGCTATTCCCATTCTGGTCCTCTAATCCTTCTTGTGCTCAGAAACTACAACTCCCAGAAGATAACTGAGTAGAAGTAGACACGTGAGATTCAGGACATAGCATTTGTTATGAGCAAGAACAAAATCTGACACTATGTGGTGTAGCTTTTTGTTTTCTCTGTCTGAACAGAGGGAGACAGGCATCTGGGTTTGGAGGAATTTTAGGTTTGGTCCAGCTGGGAAAGGTTTTAGGTAAGCAGCCCCGCTCCATCTGCAGATCTTTAAAAGGGTTTGTTTCCTTCCTCTCTGCCTCTTTTCCTTCCTTCCTTCCTTCTTTCCTTTCTTCCTTCTTTCCCTCCTTCCTTCCTTTGTGGTAAGTGTTCAAGTAAATAGAAGGGAGCAAAAGGCAATCCACACACCCTATCTGGAGCAGAGGGCAGAGGAAAAAACAAACATAGAACATATACAAATATTTTAAAGAAAAGGAAAGTGGACTTCACACCAAAGACTCAGAAAGAAATTACTTTTGAAAATGACTCTTTGTTATAATTTTACCTCTCCAAGAGAAAAGACCTGAAGATATGACATTCATAGGTATCCCTAATTAAAGAGCCAAGCCCCACCCTCTGGTACTTTCTATGAAGCCCACAAGTTAACAGCTGCAGCGATGAATGCAGTGATCTCAATCAAGGTTTTCATACTTCATGCTTAACATGAATGAGCAGTCAATGATCATCAGAATCCAGAGAAAAGTCTAATATAAAAGGTAGAAGCCAGTAGATGTTAATAGGAGATAGGAATTTAAAGGAAAATGACTCCAAAAGAAGGGATATAAAATTTCAAAATGATAGTTAATATACTCACATGTATGAGTATATGTAACAGCTGAGTATGTACATTCAATAATGATGGCTAAAGAGGATAGTTTCAGGTGTATGGGTTCTCAAAAACCTATCACCCACACTCATTTCCCTTGGGAGTTATAGGTGAATTTGCTCCGCTGAAAAGAAATTAACCAAGACAAGGAAATGCATAGTGTTATAAAGTCATAATGTACAGGCATTGGAGATTAGTTGTGAATAAAATAAATGCTTGCCCTTGTGGAGTTTATATTCTAGTGGAAGGAACAGGCAATAGATAGATGAACAAATAAATACAAAGTGTGGGAGTTGGGGTGAAGTGCTGGGAAAATGAAGTGTTAAGAGATAGGCCAGGTGGGGTGGGTTTACTGTAGGGTACTTTGAGAAGACCTTGTGGGTCAAGATCCTTGGAGCAGAGACCTGAAGAAAGTGAAGACATGAACCAGGCAGCCATCAGGGAAGGAGCATTCCAGACAGATGCAAAAGTCAGTGTGAAGGCCCAGTGTGAGAGCATCTTACAACATTCAAGGAACAGAGGTCAGGATGCTGGACCTAGCCAGTGGGGGGCAGAGGGGGGGTTAAAATAAGACTGGATCTGGGTGTGGTTGCAAACACCTGAGATCCTAGCACTCTGGAAGGCTGAGGTAGGAGGATCACAAAATTTGAGTCCCACCTGGGCAATTTAGCAACTTAGCAAGATCCTGTCTAAAAATAGGTGTGTATGTGTGGGAGGCTGGAGATGCAGTTCAGTGAGAAGGCCTTGGGTTCAATTCCTGGGGGGGGGGGCGAGCGCGTGCGCAGAGAGGGAGGGAGAGAGAATGGGAGCCCTCATCTGCTTAAGCATCTTCACCGTGGCTTGTTCTGTGACTCTGGTCTCCTTTAGCTGTGTGCTGCCTTGTGCTTCACTTTTCTCTGTGTACTCACTTTTGCCGTATGCAATGATCCCTTTTATCCTACCTGTGATCCTGATGTATGCAGTGACAGCGTACAGTCTCTTAAAGCAGGTTTTGTAATTACTTTGGCAGTTTATGGTGACTCTGTTCTATCAATAATGTTTGGAATTTGTCTGAGACATAGTAGCATAGATGGCACTATTCTGACCTAGTTTTCTGGCGATGATTTATGGGTCCATAGGCTCCCTCAACATGGAGTGTAATATCACTGCCTGCACAGAACACTTACAATCACATGCTCGTTGCTGCAGGATGGATGAGCTTCCAGCCTCAGGTTGTTGAAAGTCAGGGTGGCCTGCCTGCCTTCCTGCACAGTGATTCTCCACTCGCAGACCCGGCCGTGAGGGTTTGGGTTCGGGTAGTTGGGTGAAGTAAATGTTCCAGTGGGGCCTTGTAGATCCCCACCACACTCTGAAAGGGGGTGGGGGAGAGCAGGAAAAATTCCAATCCATAAAATAATTCCTTTCATAGGGAAATTAATATTTACTTCTCCCCCTAGATGAAATGGTGGCCCTTATTTATCACCATATGTTTGTGAACGCTTTTAGAGACCATTGATATTTTCTTCTTATCTCTATTAACATTTAATCTTTGCTTTCATGGACAATACTCCACTAGGCAGCACTTTAATTATCCTTGTGGCCCAAGATATATGAAAGGCTATTACATACAGGGAATGTAAGAAGGCTAAAGTAATTATTCAGGTTCGCTAGACATGATCTTTATTTCACCTGTGTCTGGCAGAGAATTTGGGAATGTGAATTCTGAGTAACCCTGGCACCGAGGGGCTATTTTCTTAAGCTGGACATCACAGTACAATTCTCATCTCCATTGCATCTCTTCCTTTTGTAGCACTTATCACAGTGGGAATTTTTCACTCACTGGTGTGACTGGGATCAATGTCCACCTCTTCACTAACCATAAGGGCCAACAAGACAGGATTACATTTGGTTTTCCAAACGGTTATAACCTCAGTGCCCAGCATAGTGTTGTAGGCGATCAGTAATGGGGTTTTTTGAATGAACCAATGGACTCACCTGCCAGGCTGGATTCAAACCACAGCCTGAACCCTGGGGCAGTAAGTGAGTCATCCGTGACAAACCTGACAGAGGCAACATCGCTAGAGGTGTCTATGCTTTGAGGAATGGCATTTCCACAGTATCTACCCAGAAGACGTGCTGTGAGGATGGAAGAATATATTCATGTAATTGATTCACTACTTGCGTTGCGGCACAGTTACAAAGAAAATAATAAAAGACAACGCCCCGCCCGTGAAGAAATGGTATCCTCCGTCAAGAAAAGGAAAAAAATCATGAATAAAAGTTAACATATTCAAGTATATGAAGATGCGTTTCTAAAAACGCAACCAATTAGGAGAAGAGTGTCTCAGCACTCAGGAAGGCCCGCCTAACTGGTTCAGGCTTAACCTTAACCAGTTGGGTGGAGTCAGCAGTGACCAGTGTGAATCTCCTATTACCAGGGAATGTGCACCATCCTTTCCTCTCCCCATTAAACAAGGTCTCCACCCACTAACTGCATGTGGCAGCGAAGGGTCTCAACAGGAGGAAGACGCCCTTCTGTGACCTCCCGGAAGAGCTACAGAATGACACCCGGGCCTTGGGCATCCCTTGCGAAGCGGTAGCGTCCTGGGAGAGAACTGACGGAGCTTCTCCACAGACAGTAAACACACTTGGGTCTTTCTTGGAGATAAAGAAATTTCAGGCGCTGAGTAAGCACATGTGAACATAAACACCCCGATAGAGAGCAGATACTTTTCACTGACCAGGGATAAGGTTTTCCCAGATCTCCACAAAGTCTTTTTCACAGCCTGAGGAATTCTGAAGGTTAAAATCTTCAAAATGGATGGTGAGGTAGTGTCCTGGGAGGCCCTGGAGCTGCCACTGACAAAATAAATTATTTGGATATGGAAGCGTGGGGTAGCCAATGCTCTCAATGCTGCCACTTTGTCCCGTTACTGTTCCTCCACACTGGGCTGCAATAAACAGAAAGTATAATGTTCTATTGCAGACTTTGTTCTGATTAAACCAGAATGTTTGAAAGTATGAGAATATGAAGTTTTAATAATGCTGAACATGCTTGGCAAGAACTTTCCTTATTATCTGAAATATACTGTTGATGAAAAGCGAGATCATACCAGTCCAGTCAATAACAGGAAAGGGAAGATGACTACTGAACGGTATATTCTGTAATGTCACATTAATTCTCCTGGGGTACTATAGGAGTGCTATTAGTTGCAAGTGTATTTCATTTCAAGAACTAACTGATAGGTTGATATGGGCTGCTTCGTGTCCTGGGCTGATTCTAAAGACTGTCCAAACTGAGCTACAAGCTCATCAGTGAGGCCTGCCATTTGTAGTTTATCAAATAAACATTGTACTACAGTAACAGGGTCTGGAAAATTATCATCCAATTATTTCTCATTAGCTGGATGTGATAACTATATTGAATTACATACATTTGACTCAGGACATAAAATGACCAATGGTGTAGGTTAAATATTATTACAGCTAGACTTTCTGACATTTTGTTCAATTAAATATTTGTTTAGATCAAGTCCAGACCCACAAGATACTAAATCAAATGCCACTGTAACAATATTAGAGGGAATATGCAATACTCGAAGTTATTGTTCATTTTTAAAATAAGAAAATCAAAACCCTGAAGTAATATATTTGCTTTTTATACTTTTTTATATTGTTTTAAGATGACAGGGAAAAAAGAAATTAAAATGGATAAATGACTATGACTTTAAACAGTTACACTTTTTACTTATTTCTATCATTAAAGTATTTTTTTTTTTGGTACTGGGGATTGAACTCAGGACTTTGTGCTTGCAAGGCAGGCGGTGGCACCACTGAGCTAAATCCCCAGTCCAAAATAATCCTCAGTATAAGGCAGGTAAAATAAAAATTTTAAATACAATAAAATTAAGACACAATAACAATTAAAAATAAACACAAAATAACACAACAAAATAATTAAAAATTATTTTTAAAAGACATATTTAAAAATTTTAATATATTCATTGTACTACAACTTTCATGTTTAATATCTGAAACTCCTGTTACCCATAGAATACTTGGCCTTGAATCCTGTGTGAGTTGAACTGTTGGACTGGAACCTCAGATACATAAGCTCTGTTGAGGACAACTGGCTACCGGGTAAAGACATCCCACAAAATTTGGAAAGTACTGGTGAACTTGAACTGCCTCCATTCCGTAACTCAAGATAACTGGAAAAGCAGCTAAAGTGAGAAGAAAAAACTCAGTTAAGTTTATAAAGCCAATTGCTTTGATTTATTTTTGATAATGAAGATTTCACCAGCTTCTGCAAGGGTACTATAAAGTCATCCTTTTTGTATCATAAGGCACTATGGCACAGCCAGTTTACGCTTCATGTCACTTTAAAACGCTGTATATTTTCTAATGCTAATACAGTCTTTTCATTAGAAGCTAGGAAGACACGTTTTACAGGTACTACACAGGAGAAAGTTCGCTGGCCTTCCATATTCTGTATTAGTTTTACAAATATAAAAGCCATTTTCAAATTAATCCCTGTGGACTTCAACAAAGCCAGTACTGTTTCACATGATCATTTGATAAGTTTCACAGGAGAAAGCTAAGAATGCTTTCTTGGCAGCTCTGGGACCAGAGCTAATGGAGAGTCTCAGCTGCAATTGTCTGTGTCCATAAACAGGGCAAGTCTTCACCTAATGTTTCCTGAGAAAGCCAGACCAGACAATTAATGTGCAGTGAGTGGAAGAACGGTGCTATAGCTCATGCCCAGAAATCAATACAAAGTTCTTGTATCTTGGTTCTGTATCACACTTCTGTTAAATGAAAGGGAAAATCATATCAGATTTTTTGTTCCATTTTGTTTTTACAGATTAGAATTTTCTTTTGTCTTCAGCGTTGTAAGAAATATTCTCTGGGCTGTAACCCTTTCAGGATCTGTATTAAATCGAGACTGGGAAATTGTATTGTCCTTGCTTCGTGCTGTTTCTGACACTGGTGACCCCTGGTACCACATCACATATATTGCCATTTGTTAAACAGGTATTTTATCACCTATGACACTGCATATGAGGCTGGGCAAATAAATACTCATCTAGCAGAGGCACTATATTTTCCTGGGGAGGAAGGACAGATAACCTAAATCTGAGACACCACCCTTGGTGTCTCTGAGAGGATGTGTCAGGGGTCACCAGTGACAGTATCTGTACATAATCCACTCAGCTGATGAAAGGGCGGCTGTTGGTGAACTTTCCAGGATGGGTGCATTAAGCTTGGCCCTTTGTTCCTAGATTCCCTGTGCAGTGTGAACTGCTAAGAAAAGAAGAAATAAATGGTTCTGAGACGTGACAGATAAAAAATACTCACTCTGGTTAGGAGAAAATCAAAGTGGAAGTGACCTACTTGGGTGTATCTTCAATATCGAATTGATCTTCAAACTGTATCCTTATGCTCTTTCCCGGAGGAGCAGATATGATCCAGACACAATCAGCATGCGGTGGGTAATTGTTAGGGTAGTTGGGGGAGGTCACATATCCAGTCGAATCAGCATCGTGGATGTAGATGTAACCCCCACAGGCTATCAGGAAACATGGTTAAATCAATCTCTAGTCTGGTGAGGGAGGACACAGTCAACTGCTGCAAACATTTTTTATTATTATTTTATTTTGGTACCAGGGATCAAACTCAGGTCCGTGAGCCTGTGCAGCAGGCAGCGAAACCACTGAGCTAAATCCCCAGCCCTGCAATCATTTTTTAAAAGTTAATTTGTCTGTATTTCCAGTCTCACTTTACTTTCATCTAGAATTATCTTCATTTTCTTTTTAAGTAAATAAATTCTGAATTTGCCACTGAGGAAGCTACCAGGCATGTCACTTTTTAATTTGCCAAGCCATCTATTCTTATTGAAAATGTCATTCTTCCTGAAAGCCGGTGGAATAGGATACACTGAACATGCATGAGAACATCACAGAAGCACAAATACACACCCCCCAGTTAGATGAGCCTGTAAGTACAATAGCAGTTATAACTGCCACTGGCTGCTCAGGGGAATGAAGCAGAGCTGTGATCTTCATAAGCAGATAAGTACGTGTACAACTCTGTAGATATCCATTCACTATATTTCTTTATGATTTAGATTGAAGGCCAAGAGATGGATAACATGAAGGAATTTATTAGCCTTTTTTTTGCAAAAAGATAAAGGAGTTCTTTATACTTCCTTTCTAAAAACCGAAATATTATATAAAAATACTTTCCTTTCATCTATAAATACTCTTTGGTAATTTTTGCAAATAAATGAGGCAGGAGTTAACACATTTACAATGTCAAAGAAATGAACCCATTCGATGACTCAGCCACACACACACTTGACCTACTAAATGCAAGCAATGTTTATTTCCTCTGTCACAGCCTCTTGTGGTCATACCCTGAATTGTGTCACTACCCAGAATTTCCTCATCTTTGAAACCCTGAGTCACACACCCCTTTGACAGCCTTTAGAAACCTTGGTCCATGTCTTTCCTTCAAATTCCTCTTGCAAAATTTCTGTTTTGGGACTGGGGATTCAACTCAGTGGTTCCGCTGCCTGCCTCACAAGCGCAAGGTCCAGAGTTCGATCCCCGGTACCAAAAAAAAAAAATTTCTGTTTTGTGCATGTTTTCAATTCAAGCCATTCAAGGAAGCTACTGCCACTGAAAATATATGACCTCCAACCTGAATTCCACCAGGCAATTTGCCCGTTACATTCCATGCCAAGTGCAACAGCCATATGAACATTATTACTGAGATCTTTTATTCTCTGTTCCTTCCATTCAGCCACAGAGCGGGGCGCGCATGGTGTGGGGCAGGGAGGAAAGCTCCCAATAGGTTGAGCAATGCTGCTGGTGACTGCACAACTGTTAAAGCCCCCACACCGGAGCTGCATGTGCTGGCAGGTGACAGAAGGACATCACTTGTCATCTTGGACCTTACTCAAGCTAGTAGATGTTTTCGTGTGTGTGACAGTTGATGGGGAACTTTATACTTCTTTTCCTTTTCCAAAATGAAGAGACGATGCTAACATTTTCAATTGTCATATCTGGGGGAATGTATAATAAAATGTATGGTTTCACTGAAACTAACATGTATTTTTAAATGTACTTGAGAATCTGGGATTAAAGTCATAAAATCAACCTGAAATCTGTGTTAGCCAGCAGGGGAGGCAAACAAAGATTTATTATTGCTTTTGCTTACCACTAACACCATTCCCTGTTTGTGAAGCTCTGTGTATTTATTTATTCAATTAAACCTCATTAAAGAGAAAATGTCACAAAAATCAATAATTGCAGTAGAATTAAATATAATTAAGTAAAGGTAGTTAAATAAAGATCGCTGCTGTAATGTAGAATAATTAAATGAATAATAATAGAATCAGAGGATTTGGGTTCATTTAAAAGGAAGCACACAAATGATTATAAAATAAGGCAATCATAACCCTTACAATGTTTCTATAACTAGGTTTACATAACAATTAGACATTTTATAATATAAAAGTCTAAGAAATGTCAGGCATTACGATAAAATCAGTTTAATTTATACACATGGAAAATTTCACTTTAATCACTAACTAGGAAGTCAACTTGGAAAAGTCTAAACCTTCATTTTACTGACCTGTAAAGTGGAAATAAGATACTTTGCTTAAAAAGTACCATGTTGAGATATTTAATGTATCAATTACAGAGTAAATGCTTAATTATAAGTAGCTATTCTTAATGCTATTACCTTTAGTTCAGAAAAGGAAAATTTATTTTTTTTTTGCAAATTCACTTAATCAAGGAAAGCCAAACAATTGCAGAAAAAGTGCAAATATATTTCCTAGTGGAAATACTTACCTAAACTCTTTGCTTCATATCTCATCTTAAATCCTCGCCCTCCATTATTACTATTATCAGAAATAAACTGAACGAACATCTGATTATCCGAGGTGAACAGAGTTGATGAGGGATAACCGCCACAGAAACGACCATTTCTTCCTTGGGTTCCCAAAGGTGGAGAATAGATATCTGGTCCATTTTTCAGCTGGAAAGGCATATTAAAATTGCATAAACTCCTTTAGAATGTGAGATATGGAGTGAAAAAGTTTTACCAATTTATGATCCAAGAGAGAAAAATCATCACTTTGTTTTCTAATTGAAGTGGCAAGTAAGACCTACCACCAAATAATCCCCCTGGCTGCAGATAGCATCTCCACTTGGAATCTGGAAGGGCTCTTCAAAGTGGACAGCGATGACGAAACCAGGCTGGACCAGGACATGCCAAGAACAGTTGAGGTTGGGAGGGTAGGGCATTGGGTACTTGGGAGATGTGATAATCCCTCTGTCTGCGTGTAGATATCCACCACAGCCTTCCCAAGAAGAAAGAAAGGTAGATTATTTAAATGACATTGGCAACTGGGTTTTTAATGCTCTCCTTGGAGATCTTCAAAGTACAGGCAATATAAGTGAGGTTTGAGACTAACTGCAATCAAACTGTAGGAAATGATTACCAGAATAGTCATTGAATAAACACATGCTATTGGGTCCTCAAGGTGTTGTTGCTAAGATCTCAGATATAGAGGTAAGTAATATACATCTTACTTTATAAATGAGGACAACATGCAGTAAACAAATATAAAATGTTACATAGTTACAGAACCTACATAGAAAGTGAAAGGTACAAAGAAAAAGGCGAGGTTAGAGAAGGTATTGTGGCAACATCTGGCAGACACTTGAGTGAAGTGAGAAATCGTGCTCGGTGGTCTTGTGGGAGAAGCATATCTCAGGGCAGAAAGCAGTGTAAAGACTTGATATGTTAAGAGGCACATCATGAAAGCCAGAATAGATGAGATCAAATGGGAGATCTCAAAGGTAGCATGACTGGCTCATGCAGGAAGCAGAGGACTTATTCAGAGTAAGAAGGGGAAGGGACTGAGGCTTTAAGCATCTGAGTGGTATCATCGGATTTCAATTATAAGGTGTCCACTGTCCACAGCACTCGAACTACACAGCGGGGCGAGGCAGGGAAAAGCAGAAGCAGAAGATCCAAGAGGACAGGATTGTCTGAGACTACGAGGAGATTACAGAGGCACAGAGAAGGATGGCAACAGAAGAAATGGAGAAAAGTGGTTGGAAACTAGATGTATTGTGAGGTAGAACTGTTGGAGTCATGCGAGATGCGAAGAAGAGTCAGGCCACGAGAATGCAGTTAAGTGGACGAGCAGAGGGCTGCAGCTCACAAGGCGAAACAGCAGCTTGCCTCTGCTGCCCATGTCTTTTATTGAGGTGGTGCACAATGCGAGTGTGAGAAACGTGAGAGATTACAACCAAGGCCTTGAAGGTGTTTTTTAGGAATAACATCTTGAAAGCTTTCATATCTAATCTCGAGCTTTCCCAGAGCAGAATACTCACACCCTTGGGTGTCAAGGTTCCTGAAAGAGAAGGAGCATGGCATGCAATGCTCCCTGGATGTTATCTCCCATGCGAGAGAACATCTGCTGTTCCTGGGAACGTTTCCCCAGAGTTCCTTCTACGTTCAACTTGCTCTGAGACAACATTCTTCTCTACATAGAACCACTGGGACTGTGGACGATTAGGACATACCATTTGAGGAAAAGGAGTCAAGAATGACATCAAGATATTTAGCTTCAGTAGAAGCTAAATAGAAGAATGTACTAAGTAGAAGAATGTACTTTCGTTTGCTAAGATTGTGGAGAATGTGGAATGGGCAAGTGTGTGGGGATAGGAAAAGGAGGACCAAGAGTTTGTCTTGACACATTAACTGTGGAATACTTTCTAGACATACAACTGTTGAACATGTATATTTCATACACACATATACATACGTATATTATATACCTATATATGCGCATGTATGTATAGGAACGCGTTTGTCACCATGGTTCTACATTCACTACATACGTATGCACCTGTTATATGTATGTTGTATGTGAAAAGTGCTGATGTGTACATGCATACATATGACAGCAGGTGACAGAGCAAGGTTGGGATTTGGGGGAAGAGATGAAGAGAGCAGGCATTAATCTGTGAGTTGTCCAGGACTGTGCAGCTCATCAGTGAGACAGGAAAGTTCATGCAACTAGTTAAATTGCAGAGATGGAAATTTGTTGTAGATCTAATTCCAAAGCCCACTTTTTTCCCCGGTACTGGGGATTGAATTCCGGACCTTGCACTTGCAAGGCAAGCGCAGCGCCACTGAGCTAAATCCTGGCCCCGAGGCTCATTTTTGTAAACCACTATATGCGTTGCTTCCCTTGAGCCAGAGGAAGGTGATTTTTCTTCATTTGTTCCATACTTTATAAAAGTCACATAGAAGAGTAAAAATTGAGATCTATTTTTAATATGTTATTGAGAATACTTTAAAATTGTGGTTTTCATACATGAAAGTCTTTCAGTAGTCCATGTACTATTTCAATCTAGTTTAGATTTAAAGTTATTAGGCCTCACATGTTGTCACATTTTGAAAGTCCTGAAATACCACATGCAGTAGACCCCACATACTGTACACATTATCTGACTCATCAAATTTCATGTTTCAACAGCAAGAAGCCCTTACTGCCAATCCTCATACGGACCTCTTACTGCCATTCATGAAGATATCTTACATAATGTGTTCCCTGGTTATTTCCTGTATTAAAGAATAACTGACTTATTGTCCCTTTGATGTGTTATGGATACCTATTCTCTTCTAGCTGCAGCCCTCAGCTAGGATGAAAAGATCATTCTTGTGCCTACCAAGAGCACATCTCTTTGAGGGCGACATGCCCCACCCCACTCTGAGCCCTGATGGCAAGAGAACTCTACATCTTAGCCACAGTGCTCTGTATCAGGACTCGGTACTCGACACAGGACAGGTATCCGGAAGTGGCAGAGACCTGTGCCCAGTGGCCTATAACCAGTCCTGGCATGGAAAAATGAGCACAGTGCATCAGGGAGCAAGAAGAGAAAGGAGAAGAGGAGAAGGCAGAGGAGAGGGAAGGGAAGGCGAGGGGAGATTTGTCTGAACACATTACTCTTGTGGAAGGACGCGTTGAAGCCTGCCCTGGTGATGCTGAGGTCGGAGGAGAAGTGGATGGACAGGTACTCTCCAGTGGACCGGATGGGCCCAGGGATCTGTGTTCCGCAGAGAACTGCCAGCAGTGGGGACTCGTCATTGTCTCCTGTGACCAAGAAAGGAAACATCAACATGAAAATACGGTGTCCTAAGAGTCTACCCCACCATCATTTGCAACCCAGCCAAAGAGGCACACACAGTTTTCTGGGAACACTGGAGCTCCTAGGAGATAAGAGGATTCTCACAAAGGACGCACAAGGTTGCCTCCTTCTGGCTCCAGCTTGCTGCGGGGCTGCCTGCACCCTTCTTTACCCTTGTCGATAAAGACCCCTTGGACAGTTCCCAGGATCTTTCTAAAAACTGGCTGCCAGTTCTTCCTGGCATGAAAACTCAAAGTCAGAGTACATGAGACCAGGAAGTGATCGAGGCCCTGTGCTTACGTGTGTCAGAGACTCTGACCGCAGATTGTCGAAGGTTAAGCATCTAAAGGAGAGAGAAAAGGTGGTTTTTAACCCTCAGCTCCTAACTAACATTAAGAGGTCACTGAGCAAGATGTGTGTAACTTATATGGCTCTTTCTTCAGCTCACTGCAAGTTGTAAAAACTTCTTTTTGGTATTTTATTTATTGTATCATAAAAGGAGCAGACTTTTGTGGGGGATGAGGAAAGAGAGCTGCAGCAAGTGCGTCCTCCGGAAAGAGACACGGGAGAGCCAGTTTACTCATGCACCTTCTTCCTTCACTTCTCTTAGACACGTGTCCATCAAAGCTACCGTCCCCACTGAGACCAGAGACCAGAGGCCAGAATGGGGCAAAGCAGATCATGGCGGGTTTGGATTCCTTGGCTGGGAAAATGTACTGTTTTCCAGGAAGCAGGAAATTAATAAATTTCAACTTACAAAAAAGAAAGACTAGAATTTGAGAAATGAGGAAATTTCCCTTTTTACACAGTCAACAAAATGTCTCCTTTTAAACACAGACAACTACTTAAAATTCATTCATTATTAACTTTAGGAAACAAGTCATTTTCTATTTCTGTGATTATGAATGTAATGGCTCAGTTGTACATATCAATATTTTTAAGATGCTTCCAGAGGCATTCTTTGGAGGGTTTATCAACTCTGGAAACTTTTGAGTTGGTTTTGTTTTTTTTTTACAATTCAAGCTATTCAAGTTTACCTCTTAAACTCCTTTTGAACTTATCTTCATTACGTTATTTTGGCATACATTTTGTCCAATATTATTTTTTGATGTATTCTCTAATAACATGCAGTATGAAAGTTTAAAGTTTGTCATTGTGGTGGTGGTTTTGAGGTGCTGGGGACTGAATCGCAGGCCTTGCAGTGAGAGACATTCCCTGTCCTTCCCCGCTCTTTTTGAGAGAGGAACTGACCAAGTTGCTGAACTGCCCCGGCTGGGCTCAAACCTACCACCCTCTTGCCTCAGCCTCCCAGAGTGCTGGGATTACAGTTCACCACCGTGCCCAGCTGAAGTTTTTTTAAATGTCTTTATCTCACAAGTATATATTTTATCCCTTAGCAATACTGGATTAGATCTATTGACTTAGCTTTATTTTCTAAACTTCCCTCTAGACTCTTTGGTGAATCAATGCTTATCTCTAAATAACTACTTGTTGATTAATAAGTTGATTAGTTAGTGGGTAACCCGGTAGCAAGAGAGCAGGCTTGGAGCCATTTAGCAGCTTGTGTGAGGGCACGTGAAGAAGACAGGGCATGCTCTCTAGAGTCTATGCTTCCAGCAGAAGCTACGGATGGAACAAAAATCCACTCCACAGAATGTGCTTTTTAAAGAACACCTATAATTTACAAAGAGTGATCAAAATATATGGTGAAAGTTTAAATTTAAAAATGAATTACTGTAAGGCCAATTGCCACCAATCCCCCCTGAAAAAACTTCCCTGGCTGGGAGCACACTTACCCTTTCGTTCTTGCCACTTTCTGAAGCAGTTCTGTAAGTGCTCCTTTGTGAGTGTCTTTACAAGGTATGATAAAAATACATCCAGTGGAAAGGCAAGCTCGTACAAACATTAAGATGTGTCTGTGTTCACCTTATTCACTTAATCTGATACCATACCATGCAACTTCGGAATCAATTCAGGACCTCAAAGCAGCTACAGCAAGCAGCACAACTGCAAACACTCATGAAAGAGGACTTCCAGAACTGCTCCAGAAGGTGGCAAGAAATATGGAATAAGTGTGTTCAAAATGAGGGGGAATATTTTGAGGGGTTTTAATGGCAATGTGTCTTTTACTATAATAAGTTAAAAAAAAAAAAATTCAGATATTCACCTAATTTTTCGATCACACCTCTTACTTCACTGATCCAACTATCTACTGAGGATTGTTTTTAAGGCTTCTGTTCGATTCTGAACACTCAGAATAGATGTGCAAGGACATGTTCATTTCATTACAAAACTTAAACATCCACAGGAATGTCTTAATATCTGAAAAGAACAGTTCTGGGGCAATCAATGTGCAGATACCTGATTGCTGACAGAGAAAGAGGGAAAGTTAGTGTCTCTCATTTCATTGTGTTTGTGTGGTTGGTTTGGGTCTTTACTTAGTACTCAGCCTCTGGAAGATGGAAAATAAAGCATCTTCACCAGCTGATTTTTCTCACTTGGGAGGAGGCAGTCTTTCTCTAGTGTGAGAAACTGAAAGTGTAAATAAGGATTAAAATGATTAAAATGAATAATTGATAATGTGAAATAGGAAGAAGAGGTCCACAGGGGTAGGGGAAGTGGGAGGGCAAGGGGAAAGGGAAGAAGGGAAAGGAAAAATTATGAGAAAAAATAATGGGAACAAAGTCTATGTAAATAGGGAAGGGTGGAGGGGGTGAAGGGCGCACAGGTAATGGGGAAAAAATAAGAACCAAGATTCATCATGTTCAGGTACAAGCACCCAGTGATAAATGTAAATGTACTGTACACCTAAAACGTACCAATAAAAGAATTTAAGCAAAAAAAAATAATAATCTGTGGACCAAATGCAAGTACATGTTGGCTTTTAGTGAGAATCTGCAGACATGGAAGATGTAGCCTTCCTGTCATTCTCCTTCATTCCAGCCCATGTCACCTGCGAAGCACAGTTTTGTGCATGATGCATGTTAGCACTGTCCAGGACCTGGGTTACTGCATAACAACGCCACACCTCTGTACACAAGAAAATGTGCGGAAATATCACCTCCTAGTACTACCTATTCCACCCACAGAATCAGGGGACAAGAAGAAATGGATACACTGCAATTATAAAGACCTTTTTCATTAGGATCTTAAATCCATAGATATCAAATGTCAATCTTTATCCACAAGACTTCTCAACTTAAAAAAATAGTAGCACAATTTGAAATTTTAGACTATTATCTCCTACTTAGGCCTCTCAATAAGCTTTTTTTTTTCTCTTAGGGATGTTCTAGTATTCTTGACATTTTGTGACAGGCAATTTACTATTTGCCTTACATTTTCCAGAAAGTGCAGCTATTTTCAATATTCAGTGGCTTCACTGATCTTGGAATCTATCAAATTATGTACAAAAGAACAGAGGCAATGAGCAAGTGCGATGGTAATTGCATATTAACTGTGTCCCAGAGTTAGAAAACAGTTTTCTTTCCAGTGTTTCTCACCATTTCTTATCACGAGACTGTCATAGTCACACATTTGGTGAGATTCGATGTCCATCGAGAGGATATTGAGTTCCACAGTGGAACCCGGAGCCTGGATAAGCCATGAACAATCCATCGCATTGCTGTATCTCCCAGGCCAGCCTGGGGAAAAGAGAAAGGCCGGCGTGTCTCCAGTCCTCAGGAACCCTCCACAAGCACCTGGAGAATGAAAGGCAACATCTCTGAAATAACTGCAATGGGAAAGCAACTAGTACTGTTGTACTTTAAAGTGATAGCTCTATGTTTAAAAAAAACAGTAGAAATAACTTTCTCAAAGAAATCAATAATGATTTCTGAAGTTCATCTCTTGTAGAAGAAAAATACATTATGGTTCTTTTCACCATAATTCTGTCACACTACTTACTTATTATTGAATGATGATTATTTGTTAAGCATAAATAATACACGTAGAGGATTCTCCCCACCTGTCTGGGGAATTACACTCATGTTTCACATATTTCTCTTAGTAGACCTATTTGTTGTGTTATTTATATCTAGGTAATTTTGAAGTCACCTTTATAAGCTGAAAAATTTAAAAAATATAAGCAAAACTGCAGCCTTTATTTTTAGACACATATTTAATACATATGCTCCTCATTTAATTACAGAGTTCCATTCCTGCTACCAGGTTGTTAAATGAATTGGTTGGTAAATGAGGAATTGTATGTAGTATGTACATTACAATACTGAGAACAAAGAAATACTCAAAGGAACTGCAATTGATGACTTTGCTTTCATTTGCATAACTCTTACATGCAGTGCTGTATTGTGTAACAGAACATACAGCTACAGTACTCTACTGGACTATACAATCACCAAAAATTACACTATTGTATAAACAAACAAGGTGTGCTGCACAAAAAAAGAGATTGAGGGTCTCTAAACAAGATGTACAGGATTATGCAAAAAAAGAAAAAAAAGACAGGTTGTTAAGTCCAAACAAGGCACGCTGGTTGTAAGTTTGAACAGTCATTAAACGGGTAGGTCATTATATGAGGAATATCTATCTGTACATACATTTTTTTCAGTAATAGCCTTCTTTCAGTATAACACGCACACTATATGTCCTTTTTAAGCTGTATATCTTGATCATTTTTACTATATTAAAAAAATCGTGCAAACATCTTCACTAATTTTAGAACATGCTCATCCTCCTAAACAGAAACTTTAAATCTTAGTTCTGTCTCTATAATTTTGCCTATCAGTGTAAAGTTTCATCCATATTGTTGTCCATATCAGTATTTCCCTCATTTTATTTTCAAGGGTGAATTATATTCCATTGCATAGATACATTTAGTTTTTCCATTTATCAGTTAATGAATATTTGGGTTGTTTCCATATTTTATTTTGTATGTCTGGTGCTGGTATAAACATTCATGTATGTTTTGTATGGACATGTTTTTAATTTTTTCTTAGGTATATAACTAAGAGAGGAATTGCTAAATAATGAGATAACTCTGTTTACATTTTTGAGGACTAAGGTTTTACAAAGTAGTTAGGTCATTTTACATTCCTACCAGCAATGCAGAAGGATTTCAGTTTTCCTGTATCTTCACCAAAATGTGTTACTGTCTGTCTTAATAAATATTAAACATATTTTTTCTAGAATAAGATGTTACTTGTTGTTTATTTTACTATATGTCCTCAAGTTATTTTTTAGTGGTTATTCTGACATTTATAACTAATGTAATTTAAAACAAGGTAGTTTGGATTAATACTAACAATTTAAATAATTTACAGAATTTTGTGCTAATATAATACAGGTTAAGTATCATATGAAATTCCTGGGACAAGAATTATTTCAGATTTTACAGTTATTTGGATTTTGGAATGTTTACAAAGATTTCACTAGCTAAGCATCCCCAAAAATGAAAATATAAAACCTGAAATCTGAAGCTTTTTGACAGTCTGGCCAGTGTTCAAAAATTTTAGATTTCAGACAATTTCAGACTTCGGATTTTTCAGATTACAGATATTTATCCTATATAACCCTATTCCTGCCTTCCTCACCCTTTATGCAATTGATTGTCATCAAATTATATATTTAAATATCAGAAGCCTATTGATATAGTTTTATAATTACAGACATTCCTTGTTTAATGACCTACCTGTTTAATGACTATTTGGAATTATGACCCACCACTCAAGACTTATGACCCATCTGTGTTTTTCTTTTTTTGGTACAGTTCTGTACACCTTGTTTATAAAGCCTCAATGTCTTTCTTTGGTACAGTATACTTTGTTTATATAGTAGAATAGTTTTTGGTGATTGTACAGTACAGTATAGTACTGTAGTTTTATGTTCTTTTATACATTACAGCACTGGATGTAAGAGTTATGCAAGTAAAAGCAAAGTCATCAAGTTGAAGTTTCCTTTGACTGTTTCTTTGTTCTGAATATTGTAATGTTCATACTACGTACAATTCCTTGTTTAGCAACTGATTCATTTACTAGCTGTGGAACAGAATTCGGTCATTAAATGAGGAATGTCTATATTGCTTTACCCAATGATCTTTGTTAATCAGATGGTGGAAGAAAAGAGCTACAAACAAAAATACATTTATAACGTTTTTTATATTTACTTATATAGACAATCAACTCAGAAATTTCTAGTTGATTCTTTAAAAAATTTTTTCTATCACTTTTTAATAATGTACATTTGACGAGACATAATTTTCTTATTTTTCCTTAATTCTTTAGATATCATTTTCTTTAGTTCTTTAACACATTTATAATACCTGATTTTAAATCTTTATTAAGGTCAATATCCTGAGTTCCTCTGGGACATTTTTTGTGGTTTTTTTGTTTTGTTTTGTTTTGTTTTGCTTCTTTTCCTTTGTATGGGCCAAACATCCTGGCTTCTTTGAATGTCTTGTAATTTTTTGTCAAAAACTGGACATTTAAAATAACATCTGGTGGGCTGGGGATTTAGCCCAGTGGTTCCGCTGCCTGCCTCGCAAGCGCAAGGACCTGAGTTCAATCCCCGGTACCAAAAAAAAAAAAATCTGGTGACTCTGGAAATGAACACCTTCCAAGGTTTTCTGCTACTGCCTTTCCTTTATTGATAACTCTGCCTTAGCTTTCACTTCCTACTTTCATATCGACTCAAGATCATATAAGATGAGAAATTAGAGCATATGCAAAGAAACTGGGCATATGCAAAGCTGTATACATGTGTGGCCTTCAGGAGTCTCCGAAATACGCCAGAGCTTCCTAAATCCCCAGGTGGACATCTCATTCCCCAATTCTTTCTTCCATGCTTATTGGTCAGTTTCTTGTCGGTTATAACTGGTATCACTGCTTCATGCAATTGTGATGTTAGCCAACTGCCACTGACTATTTTCAGAAGCACCCTAGGAACAGGAAATGCTTAAGGAGAGTGAGCTCTCAGGTGAAATGAAGACTAGATGTGAGGATGCAGTGTTGCAGAAAACTGCTAGGCAGATCAAATAATGGCAACTCCTTGGAGACAGGAAGTGTTCTGGAGCTCCAGTCCTGTTATGCCCCACAGCCATGGCTGCTAAGCTACTAAGGTGCTGGTTTTCATAGGTACCTTAGATGTGGGGCTGTTGTAAAGCTACTCCAAAGCTAGGGAGAAGAAGGGGATGGATGTAGGAAAAGTCACTGACTACTGTTACTGAGAGTCTGATGTTTTCTTGCATAAATACACCTTAGCTCAGTCAGTTTCTAGAGGTCTCAAAAAGTTAACTTCAACAACTTTTACCAGTGTTCTCATCTCTTTTACAGAGGAATAGATTTTCAGAAGTATATATGTCATGATTCCAGAACTTTATGACTCTTACTTCATAATATGTCCTCAATAAATATTTATTACCTTAAATATGTGCATGTGTAATGTTAATGATATGTTTGATATGTTAATATATTTTCAAATATTAAGCTTTCTTAGTTTTAATAAAATTTTCAGTGTGTGGTATTTTAACAAAATAAAACCCTGGGAAAATAGTTTTATTAGTTGATACTGAAGTACTGTGTGTGTGTGTGCTTGTGTAGTATTTGCAAATCAAATTTTCAGAGATCTCTTAAATCATCTCTGGAAATTATAAGTAGAATATTATATGGTTATCAAACATCTAATTTATGTGAAAATTTAATGGAAAACATGCATTTTCAGGCTCAATGTAACATTTTTACACCATGTAAGTATTTATGAAGTTGAAAAGACATCTGAACATATGGAGGAAGGAGTATGGGGGCTTTACCCATGCTTACTTGTGCTTTTGTGACTGAGCCCTTTGAAACAGTGGCTTCCACATACCAGATCTGAAAAGAATTTCATTTATTACCAAACACACACCTGGAGTGATGGTAGGTAAAGATCCAACAGAGTTGTCTACTGCAAACCACTCCAGAAGGAATCCCTTCCCTGAGACTGAAGAGTCTGACAAAAACTGAACCATCAAAGAATTTCCCCTGGAGCTAAAAGACTGAGTTTCAGTACCACAGTAAATTCCAATTAGGCGAGAATGAGTATCAGCCCCATCATAAATCTACACATAAAAAAGACATAACAGAACATTGTTAATAGGCAACTATCTCTATTTTTCTTCCTAAAAAAGAAAAGTTAAAAGATGCCTTATAGTATTACAATTTTATCACAATAAAAATAAACAAGTAACATTTTACTTCAGTTTAAAACAGATAATGTCTTTAAATGTAAAATATTATTGCAAATAATTTAAAGTGTTTCAAAATATTTATACTTTTATTGTAATTATATTAATCCTCTGAAGGATACAGCATATTGAATGATTTACAAGTAAAATTCATGGGTAGAAAAATAGAAACTTTGATAGTTACACAGAGACAATATTTAATAAATATGCTTTGGAGCATGTTTTTTGAATAAATACACCTCCACTTTGTCAATTTCTAGAGGTCTCAAAAAGTTGATTTTGACAAGGAAGCAATTAAGAAGAAAAAAAGGACAACAACAAGGGAAAGAACAGGTTTAATGAGAGAAAGTGGACAGGTATCCTGAAAGAGTTTATATCTCCACAGAAGGAAAGAATAATCAATACAACCAGAGAGTCACAGCTTACAGGGCCCAGCACATTCAAAACAACTGATAAGTTGCTTTCATTTGGTTTAAAATATTTAATTACATATTTAGAGACTCACTTTGTGATAGTTTCAAAATAACTGGAAACAATTTCACTGACGTATTTATTTAAAAATCCTCTACTGAACTTCGTTTTTAAAAGTTATGTAGCAATTATCTTTGTACATATTGGGCATCTATCTATTAGGTCATATCAAAGCCACTGAGCAAAGTAGATGCGTAAGATGGGGTCTTGACCTTCAGAAATATGGCACTATTTCCAGAATTGATACAGTATGCAATGTCTGGATGACAATGATTGCTATAATTTTTATATTTATTCACATGGTCCTTTAAATACTTGAACATGGGAGCAAACAAGAAAATGGGATATAAGATAGAATAAATACTTAATTAGGACCTGCACGCATACATGCTTGGACAAAGCCTAATAAGTACAATACTGCTAAAAACACCTTTCAACACACTATAGAAAATAAGAAAAGATACTAGAATTACTTTTGTACAGGTAATGAGCAGGCAGTAATCATGATTTAGGGCAGATCATCCACCCAATATATTTTCAATTGTTTGAATAGCCATTAATTTGGATTTGAAATCTATCAAAATTTATAAACATGGAATTCACATGGAAACTAACCTTTAACTTGTCATAGTAGCAGTTATGTGCTGATTCAATGTCCATCTCCAGGATTCTACCGTGGATAGTCTGAGACATATTCACATTTACTGTCCATTTGTAATTGGAGTAAGGAGGGTAGTTTGCAGGCCAGAAAGGAGAAGCGATTTTCCCATGAGTTCCCTCAATATTATCATTGCCAAATACTAGGAGGAAAAACAGAGTAGTAAATCAGAACAACTTAGCATAGCTCTTTAATCTAATGAAAAAAAAAACCCCTGAAAAACAAAAGGCAAATGAGGCTAGAAAGGATGGACTTTAAATCGACTGTGATTTCTTTTCTGACTACTGAAAGAAATACTGCTTCCCTTTGGGTTTCCAGGCTATCTATTAATTCCCTAGAGAAGGGCGTTTTTCTGAATGGAATCCTATCTCCTTGGCAGGATACATAGTATGAAAAGAGGTGACAATTTCCCATGTGAAAAGGGCTTCCCGGACTCCAGGGAACATGGGAAAGTGGGGGAGGGGTATATCTCCATTCTCTAATTTTGTTTTATCTATTTTACTTTGTTTTACAAAAGAAAGGAAAGTTTTCTTTTTAAATTCTAAACGATAAGAGAAACTGAACATACAGAAGAGCCAACTATGGAAAACTTGAGTAAAAAAACCCCCAAATCGGGCTGAAGATGTAGGTCAGAGGTACAGTGCTTGGCTAGCATACTCAAGGCACTGGATTTGATCCCCAGAACTACAATCAATCAATCAATCAATCAAAAAATAGTTAACATTTTATCTCTGTTGGGAAAATACTCCATAGTTATTATATCTGAGCATGTAAATCAATCTCAAAGTAATATTAAAGATCTGTAATTGGAGAATATAGTTTATGGGATTAAATGAAATACATCTGATAGAACTATACCATGCCTGAGCTATATCAGAAGACTCCGTAACATGGTATCATGAAAACAAATTAAATATTAGGTAGAACCTGAACCGTAAAAAGAATCATTAGTACCATCAAGAATGTCTTAATTTTAATGAGCCGTTCATATATAATTCAGTTTTTCCAATATACAATAAAGTAATTCCACAATACGGAAGAAGAGTGTGGAGTTTAAGATTGTTCTCGCTTAATGCATTCTGAAAAACTTGTTATCGCGTCTAGTTCATAGCACATACTTTGGAAGCCGTCACTAAAACAGAACTGACTTACTCTTAGTAAATGTGGCCTGGAAGCCCATGCTATTGGATGAGCCGTCTGAGACAAATCTGATCCACAGAAGATGCTCTGTAATAGATGAATAATTGCGGGGTAGGGAGCTTCCACAGTATCTTCCCACCAAGGGACCAGTGGCATTCCCTTCTCGGATCTCCACAAAATCTTTGCTACAGTTTTGAGAGTCCTCCAACTGAAAAGATCTGATTTGGAAAGAAAACACATCATTAACAGGGATAAAATTGATAGAACAAATTTTGGGATTATCCTGAATCATATGCCTGGTTATCCTGTTCACTTTTTTAAAACTTTAACTTTGCTCACAAGATTCCTTAGCTATGTCAAAACAAAAAAATCTTTCACTCAAATTTGTTGACATGCCTAGGCAAGAGATACAAAGAAAGTATACTGCTTTCAAGGAGTTTTCTTCTTGGTGGGATAGACTGGGTAAAAATACAGAAAAAAAAAAAAAAAGAAGAAGCTAGGATGTGAGTGCAATCGAAGCTAAAAAGTGACATGAGAAGGGCTTGGGAGTGTAGCTCAGTTTAGTATGCACAAGGCCCTGGGTTCAATTCCCAGAATCAAATAAATAAATATAAGGGCATGAAAATTGTGAGCCGAAGCACATCTGGATGTGGGGTTCAGTAATAAGTTGGAAAGAGTTTTAAGATGAAAGTGTAAGGCTTGGTCAGTTAAGGACACTGGACAATGGGCAGAGAGTGAACACCTGCAGGGGCGCTTGTGCAGGAAAGGGCAAGGCTCACAGGGAGACTTGGAGGACTTCTAGTTTGATGAGGGCCCGGGACCATTAAGAAACAGGTACAGCTGGAGCAGCATGATGGGGTGGTTTGGGCAGAGCTTAAGTGCCATGCAAAGGCATGTGTACTTGACTTCTACAAAGGTAGAAAAATTCCAAGATTTGTAATAATACAGGCTGAGGTACAAATGTGGCCTCTTCAACTTCCCTGATTTTACACAATTGTGTGATGGAGGTTGAGAAAACATCTACCTCATGATTTTCATAAGAAACATGGGTGAAGAGTGGAACAGTTAGGTGCTAGGTGAATGTCTTAAAACTTTTTCAGATTGCTTAAAGACTTGGACATAATCAAGATAATGTGGTATTGGGATAAGGGTAGACAAAGAGGTGAGTGAAATAGAAAAGAAAGTTCAGAAGAGGGCCCACAAATACACAGTCAGTACAATGCAACACAAGGTGGCAAGGGAATTCAGTGAGGAAAATGGTGCTTCAACAACTAGGGGGAGGAGAGGAGAGAAAAGGGAGAGAGAAAGAGAGAGAGAGAGATTCTTGAAGAGAGACAGAGATATCCTGAGGGGGGGAGAGATCCTCAGAGAGGGAGAGAGAGAGACTGATTTTTATCTCCTATCTCTTCATATACAGAAACTAATATTTCTTCCAGATTTAAACATAAAAGTAGAACCATAAAGCTCCTAGAAGAAAATAGAAGACTATCCCTGCAACCTTGGCATAGGAAATATTTCTTCAATAAAGCGCAAAAAGCATTAGCTATAAGATAAAGAATTAATAAATTATACTTCAAAAAAGTTTTCTCCTTAAGAATTTCTTAAGACTGTAAACAAGAAAATTAATAGGAAACTCACAGACTGGGATAGGGTAAGAGGAGAAAACTGCAAAGTATATATCTAACGAGGGACCCACAGCTGGAACATAAAAGAAATTCCTACAAACAAAATATGAAAAAAACAAACAAGTTTGAAATGGACAAAAGACTTGAAATAAAGGAAAATGAATGACCAATGGAAATGTGAAAAGTATTCTGTGTGTTTAGTCATCAGAGCAATTTATGTTAAATACCACAATAAGATATTATTTCACATCCATCAGAATGGCTAAAATAAAGACTGACAATGTTGGCAAGCATGCAAAGCAACTTCAGCCTCATATGTTCTCTCTGGAACTATACACTGATACAACCACTGTGAGTAACTGTTTTGACAGTTCCTTATAAAATAAAACACATCCAATTAGCCCCAAAATTCCACTCCTAGAAATTTATCCAAGAAAACTAAAAACATATGATGATGCTAATATCCTGAATATAAAATAACTCTTGCAATTCAAAAAAGGGACAAATAACCCAATTAAAAATGGCAAAGCAAATGAAAAGACATTTTCCCAAAGAATATTTATGAATAACCAATAAGAACATGAAAAGATGCTCAACATTATTAGTTGTTAGGCAGATTCATATGAAAATTACAATGAGATAACACTTCACAACCACTGAGATGATATTATAATAAAAGAAAAGTGTTGACAAGGACAGGGAGAAAGTGGAAGTCTTGTGCATTGTTGATGGGAATATAAAATACCACAGCCACTGTGGAACACAGTTTGGTGGTTCCTCAAAAAGACAAACACAAAATTACCATGTGATTCCACAATTCCACTTTTAGGAATATACCTAAAAGAATCAAAAGCATCAGCTCAAACAGATACTCGTACACTGAAAGTCATAATAGCGTAAATCGTAAGAACCAACAGGTGAAAACAACATTGACAGATAGGTGGATGAACAAAATGTAACAGACACATATATGCATACACACATGCAATCATTATTCATCCTTAAGGAAAAATTGAACTCTGCCTGACACATGCTACAATGTGGACGAATCTTGAAAATAGTACGCTGTCAAATAAACCAGCACACAAGGACCATATTATATGATTCTACTTTGAAACCCAGAGGAGGCAAATCCATAGACAGAAAGTTTAATAGAGGTTATCAAAGAATAAGGGAAGGGGAAATGTGGACCTACTGTTTAATGGGCGGAGAGTTTCTATTGTGATGATGAAAAAGCTCTGGAAATGAAGAGCAGTGATGGCTGTGTAACAGCGGATGCACTTAATGCTGCTGAATTGTACACATAAAAATGGCTAAAATGGTAAATTCTATGTTATGCATTTTTTTTTTACCATTAAAAAAAACCCTGTGAAATTTGGAGTAATAAAATTAAATAGTTGGGGCCTGGCTTGAGACATTAACCTTGCAGTAACATTACCAAGGTAATGACGAGGAGCAGAGCAGAAAATATTTTTGTGCTGTATTGAACTTAATTAATGAAAATGCCGCTATCTGTTGGAGGTAATATGTATGGAGATTTTAAAACTGGAGCCGAACTAGCAGATCACCTGTATGTAAGTTGTCCTTGGGTGTCCGAAGGAATGGTTCCCAGACCCCTATGGACACCAAAGTCTGCAGGCACTCAAGTTCTTATATAAAATGACATAGTGTTTGCATATAATATATACACATCCTCCTATATACTTTAAATCACCTCTAGATTACTTATAATACCTAATACAATACAAATGCTGTATAAATAGTTGTATACTATATTGTTTAGGTAATAATGATAAGATTAGTACAGATGCATATTTTAAAATACTTTTGATACTCAGTGTTTGAATTCATGGTTTCAGAACCTACGGATGCAAAGGTCTGTTTAAGGACTAGATTGCTACTTCTAGGGTTAAGAAATGCAAATAAGGAGGAGACAGAAAAAGAATGAAGCAATTTGTGAAATTCATAAATCTTAATTGTAAGCCACAATTTAACATTAAAAGATCTATAGACCAATTTACCACAAAACAAGTAGTAAAGGAGGGAAAGGATGGAAAAATATATTAAGAAAGAATTAATGGCAATTGCTAAAATTATTTGATAAACGTCAATACTCGTCCATCATAAAAGCTCATGGGAAATTAAGAACAGAAGGAAATTAACTAGATAAATGCCTACAAAATATACTCAGAGAAAAATATTTTAAAGCATAGCCTTAAGATCAGAACACAAGGACACCTGTCATCACTGCAGTCCCACACTGCACTAATGGGTTAGGTGGTGCGGTAAGAGAAGAAATCAGAGAAATCAAAGTTGCAAAGACTGGAAAAGAAAAGCTGTAACTCCATATTCAAATGAGTTCACTAACTCAATAAATACTTGCTAAACATCTTAATGTGTCAGGTTCTCTTTAGGCACTGAAATAAACAATAGAGACAAAAAGTCACTGGATCAGAAAACATCAAAAAAACCCAATAGGGTTTCCTTATACCAGCAAGCTAATATTTCAAAACTGAAACTTAAAAATTCATTCATACACATCTTTTTCAAGTCTCTAAGTATTGCCAGACACTGTCGTGGGGATTAGAAACCAGACAACAACTACAACAACAAAATAGACAATGTGCTTCTTTTTAAAGGGCTCATTTTCTAGGAAGAGAGCTCTGTGGATAAGTTGATCTACAATGAGGTAGTGCTAAGTTCTAGGAGGAAAAAATAAAGTACAATAAGGAGGTGTTACTTTAGGTAGGGCATTCAGGTTACATGTGTAACTTTAAAGTGGATATCATTTTTCAATGGAAATAAAAAAATAAAGTGCCTAGGAATAAATGTAACAAAAGACTTTTTAGACCTTTATGGAAAAAAATACAAAATTTTATTGATGGACATAAAAGGAGAGCTAAACAAATAGAGATATCCCTAGTTCAAGGATATGAAGTGTCACTATCATAAAGATGATAATTCACTCAAAATTAATTAATAAATTCAATGTAATTCTAGTTCAATAAATAAGTATGATTCCATTCATGTGAAGTGTAAAACAGAAAGCAGTATTTAATGGGGTGTTATGGATCTATGCATACAGATTAAAAGTATAAAACGTGAATGGAAATGATACACATAAAATTCAAGATGTGAGTTACTTTCGTGATGAAAAAGTAAAGGAATATGGATGGGAACTTGTGTTGCCCTGTAACATTTTATTTATTTAAAAGTAATTTTTGAAGGAAAATAAATTGGGGTGGTAGAAAAGACAAAATAGAAGAAGCCCAATACAAACGGTTGCATCAGTTTTTGGAAGGAGATTTTGTTAAGAGGAAAGACAAGACCAAGTGAGGGTAAACGAATGACTTAGCAAAGGTACAGAGGAAAAACTACCAGGAAGGGGAACAAAACACATCTCAAGGATAGAAATACATTTCTGTGGTACATTGTATGTATCTTTCAGTCAATCTCATAATGATCTTTGACAAGATTTCACACTAGAGTGAGTGTAGTGCTGCTAGGGGCTCCATTTCAGCTCAGGGATTAGGATGCCGATGCCGAGACGCAGCCCCACTAGAGGCTTTGGCCAACTTACGTGTCCATGGAATCAATATATCAACCAGACATCTGTGTGCTCCCGGCTGACCAGGACATAAGAGCGAATGGATTGCTCTGCCCCAGTCTATCCCTTGCTTCTCAGAACAGACGCTAGTCTCCAGCTAGAAAAACAATCAGCTGGTGGCCCTCATGATCCTATCAAGGTGGGTCACTGGCAAACAAGTCACCTGCACTATATTCTAGACGTAGTTATATCCACAAGCTATGATTGATAAATGAGAAGCAGAAGAAATCAGGAAATGTCCCTATCAGGCAAAGCAAACCCCTATTTGTCTTTACTTCCTTGACAATCTGATGCTTTGTAATAACAAAAGTTATTATCTACCCTCATTTTTCACAAGGAATTGTTTTGATTCCACCTGTGGGATGACTGCTAAGTTTGCTGCTTAACTTCAAGCTCAATTTTATGACCCATAATATTACCAACAATGGGAAAATTGTTTCTCTGCTTCTCAGAAAGGGAAGAAGAGAAGGTTCTGTTCCTCAGCAGGCAAATTCCATGAAATTGCCTCTAAAACCTTTCTACCCAAAGTTGATACCAGGTCTGGCAGTATCAACAAGACCAGGGAGCTTATTCCAAATGAAGCATCGGGCTCCACTAGCTAACTGAATGAGAATGCAAATTTTAGCAAGATCCCAGGTGATCAATGTGCATATTAAAATTCTGCACAATTGTCCAGAAGATTGCAAAGTGCAGGTCTTTTCTCAGTTCCACATTATTATCTAGCTCTAAACAGTAGAAAAATGTTTCATTAGAAATTATGCTAGGACACTATAAGAATCAAATCGAACTTTTAAAAACATTTTTATTGTTCTTGGAAATCTTTGTTTTAGGCTGGTACTTTTTGAAGCAAGTCTACCCTTTGGCTAAGATGTTAGTAAAACTATGATGTGAAACAAAAATAATAAATCACTGTTTCTCATTACCTCATTTCAATTCTTGAACCAAGACCAACTACTTTCTAAAAGCACTCTGCAAGCATACAGTGCAATTTTTGTTAATTCTTTTAAATATGTGTTTTACCAAAAAAACCCCTCCTTTTAAGGTTTTATTTCTCCTTGTCCTTTTTTTTTTTGCAGACTCAACCATAATTTCTCCAGTTCTTCTCCCTGCTCAATTTCACCACCACGTTATCCGCCATCCAAACCCTATGTTTTAGAACTTGATGTGATTCATATGCTTCCCCTAGGCTTCTCACACACTCCAGGGGAAGATTTCTAAGTGCCCATCTGAATGTAGTTTAAATCAGGGAAGAATATTATAACTCACAAGCCTTGCCACGAAGCCCTTCTCATTATCATCTGCACAACAAGAAGCATCGTGCACTCTGCAAAATTCATTTTAACAATAAAACTCAAGCAAGTAACATGAAAGTAGACAAACTGAACTTCTTATAGGTGAGAAAGGAGATAGCTGAGTCCTGAAGAACTCTTCTGTGCAGTAATTAAATTGGGACAGCCCACTGCTGTCCATTTAGATTTATTTGTGAAGCATAATAGAAGATACTTTGGAAATGACAAGTACTGGGAGAATTACCATTCAACAGCTTGCACTATACAGTATATTTTAAACTTGACATCTTTAACCCTAATGGTGGTCCTAGAAGTTCACTAGCATCTTTTGAGGTTTCAGTTAAATGGGTTTCCTGTCGCTTCATTAATAATTTGCCACAAACTTGGGTCTTATGTGTCTTAAATATTTCTGATTCCAACCCAGTTCCTGGCAGCCACTGAACCTCAGAGTAGTCAACAGTATGAACGTGGCAGAGACCAAGAAGAAAAAGATCAAATAAGAAAGCTATTTCACAAGGTCCCGAGTTTGATCCCTGGTACCAAAAAAAAAAAAAAAAGAAAGAAAATTATTTCATTTGCAAAGTTTTGAGGCCTAGTGAGTAGGTGAAGGACCCTGGACTTCATTCTAAGAACAATGATTGTGCCTTACTCATCATTGTATATAAAGGATCTCACATGGGCTGACTACATGCTTAGCACGTAACAGGGTTTGATAAGCATTTGCTGAATACAGGAATAAATAGATGTCAGATGAACGTTATACAGAGAGGTGTGTCCACCTCCATATAGAATTGGGTCCTTTTAGTAAACCCAAGGACAGTCCAAAAGCTCCTTCCCACATGGCAGCTTAAAATGGCATTGGCTTTGAGGCATGCAGAGGGTGTCTGTCTCAACACAAAGCCACTTGGACTCTGAAGAAGCATTCTCTAACTGATGGATTAAAGAAAGCAACTTGAGATGCTTGAACTTGGTCCACAAATAGGACCGTTGTCTTATATTTTTATCAGTTCTTGATGGAAAGATTGGTATGTCCAGGAGGAAGAGGCAGACTATGGAATAAATAGGCCAGGGTCTTCTAAACACCTTTCTCAACATTATGTTACTTATGTTCTCTTCAATACAGAATTAGTAATTCCAACCATAGCCAAGTAACAAGTAATATAGTACAGTGTATAACATTTAATTCAAAATGGCAATTTAAAAATACCAAAGTATTATCTCTCCATATCTTGTTAAGCATCCATTACCAAAGTAGCATGACATAGGTACCTCTCTACTGATTGATTAAAACATTCCATTTGTATGCCATATGCTTTTTATATTTACTTCTGGGACATACAATCATTGTTATTTAACATAACCTAAGACTACTCAGATTGTGTAAGAGCCTACTGTTAATTCCGTATCTATAGTCTATATTCAAAAGGTGTTAGAGTTTGAAAGGGATTTTATAAATCAACTGCTAAGTTCCAAAAACCTTCCAAGATCATTCTTCTGACAGGGAAAGAAAAAAAGGTGGATTAAGCAGGGATAAAATATGGGTAAAAAAATAGTCTTAATTGACATGAGACTTTCTCAACTGGAAGAACCTGAAATGTGACTAATTCCAAAAAAAGATAAGAATTACTGTACTCTGACCATGAATGTCCCATAGATTTATTCACCAAGAGCTCAAGAATGTATTTCCAGTAGTGTAAAAGCAGGATGCTAGAACTATTTTTAAGAGACTCTTAATGCTATTTATAACCCAAACTATGACTTAAACATAGGAAATTTGGAAAAAGACTTCCACAAGTTCCCACAGTATCCCTTTAGCAGTTGTTTGGACACATATGCTGTTGGATGTTCATCCTATTAGTAACAGAGCTTCCTTCCTACAGATTCATTAGCACTGAAACAATATACCATAAAAAAGGATTTACATAAAAGACAGCTGGATCCGGTTGCCAGGGGAACTGATAATGCTCCAGACACATTCCGAATTAGGGGGGTAAACGTCTGGGTAGCTAGGGGTCTCGAAGGTGCCTGTAGCCCTGTGGAAGTTTCCACCGCAAGCTGGAAGAAAAGAGAAATAAACAGTGTCAGAGCACAAATCAAGAGTGAGATACCACAATATATAGAAAGAACATTAGAGCCATTATCAGCATCAAAGGATATAGCACTTCCTAAATCCATGCTATATTTATAAGGGAAAGGTTTGTAACCTGAAAAACAAGACCCACACAGTGTGGGGATCAGAAAGAATCTCTGCAGTGTCTTCTCTAAAAGCCTTTTCTCCCTATGAACTCTAACTCTGAGTAATAAAAAATTTGTTCTCAACCTTACAACCATTTGGTTTTTCTGACCAGGATTATCTTCAACACTGACCTAGAAGAGAGCAGTATTCCAGTTCTTTCCTCTCAGGAAACACCAAAATGCATACCCCAGCCTGTAGGTGTTCTTCAGCTTTTTCCTCACATGGGAGATGGCAGTTAAATCAGCTCCTCCAGTCTAAGAAACCCAATGCTGGGGCTCCTCTTTCCTCTCCTCCCCATGTGCCTCCCTGTCCACATCCAGACCGTGCCTGAGCCCAGCAGCAAGGCCTGGGAGATGGGAGAATTCCCACATGTTTGTTCATCCACAGGAGAACACCATCAGATGCTGGCAGTCAGGGCCACCTTAACAAACATGTCTCCCAGGCACGGCAAGTTATGGGAGATCATGAGATTTAGCTGAAAGCACAGCCAGGTTTCCAGCCAGTTTTCTCACTTCAAGAGTTTGCTATTGTTAGAATTTACATGTTCATCTAATTGGGAAGAAGATAAGATCAGGCATGGGGGTAATCTCAAGAAACCAGCTCCCAACACTGGAGGTAAAAAGAGTTCCAAATAACAAACCAAGGGTCTACCACAGGCCTACTGACTTGGTGGCCCTTTGTTTGAGTTTCTTACCCGATGTTGATGCAGCATATAGAGCATGAAAACCATCATAGTTGTTTCCAGAATCAGAGATGAACCTCAGTGTCAGGGCCCTGCTGTAGGACGTGATGGGATGGGGCAAGGAAAAACCACAGTAGCGGCCTAAGTGATGAAGACAATGACAAGGAGATTGAACCGAGATATGGCAGAGGGCATAAACACATCTAGTAGAATTACAGGAGACCCACCCATCCAGAAGAAATCACTACTAAGAGAACCATTTCATCAGTGTTAGTATTTCAGACACTGCCTGAGAATTCAACATAAGCTCTGAATACTAGCATTGGAGAGATGATTTATGTGATTCATGATGAAGAACAGAGGGGAAGTTTATGTGACCTGGCTCCAAAAGGAAAACTGAAGTAAAATCTGCAGCATAGTAGGGACCTGCTCAAATAAATACACTAATACTTAACAATCTCAGGATAATTCAGTGCAGAAAAATGTGGCTGTTGGAGCCAGATGCCCCAGATTCAACTCCTGGTTCTGCCATTTACTAGCTACATGACCCAGGGCAAGTTAAATGCTCCTCGTTTTCCTCATGTGATAAAAGAGAATATTAAAAATAATGATGCCTATTTCATAAGGGCATGAGGACTGCATTGCTGTTTGTAAAGTACTTAGTACTCAGCACAAGGCAGCGCTACACAGATGCTTGCTTGGTCCTAACCCGTCCTCATCGGTGCTCAAAGGCTCTCAGGAAAGACCATGAGAGATGTGCGCAGAGCATAGAGCGCTCACTGGCTGCCTGCTGATGTCTCAAGCTCTGTTCCGGGTACCAGGAATAAGGCAATGAGCAAGACAAAGTCTCTTCTCTGACACAGCCTGTCTTCCAGTACCATAGGAGAAATCTGTGTCAGGCAAACTCAGAAACTACTAAGTTGATGGAAAAACTTAATCGTCCTGGAATTATTTTGCTTGAAGACATTTTAAAACTACATAGGAGTATACTTTAATTTTACTGGAATGTCCCACAAACAAAAGGACAGATTTTTAATTTAAGCAATTAATTAATTTTTTTGCTTTGAAGACAAAGAAGAAACACACTCAATTTGAGTACAAGAACTTTCTTCAAATGCTGACAAGAAATTTCAGACAGTATTTTATCTAAAGCTGGAACAGACTTCATCACTGCTATCTCAGTTGCAACATTTAATTTTTAAAAATACACACAAACTACTCATGTCCTTGAATATAAACATGGTGAATTTCCTGAACCCCACATTAAGTCCTGCTTTTTTTAATCCTCTAATTATATTTCCTTGGCTTATGCAACTCTTCACATTTATTGGAAATGGGGTATAGCTCAGTGGTAGAGCATTTGACTGCACATTTATTGGAAACATTTCAAAAATAACACACAGCCATGACCACAGATGTAAATGAGTGAATGCCACAATACCTCGGAGGGGTGCATCAGAGTCGCTGCCGTCCAAAATTTCTATATAGTCCAGAGTACACCCCCGACTGTTTTGAAGCCCAAAGTGGGTAAAGGAGAGAGTAATATGATTGACTGTAAGAAAAAAAAAAAGGATGGGGAGATTATTTAATAAACTATTGGCAAACAAAACATACAGAGAAAGAAAATCTACCTCTGATAATTTCATATGAGGGTTTTCAAGCAGAGAAGTATGGAATTTGGCAGACCTGAATCAAGTTCATGAAGTTAGAGAAGGGTGCAAGTCTATGCTAAAGGATCCGGCTGAAGTGGCCAAAGTGTTAACAGAATCTGTAGTTCTGAAAAGGCCTGTAGGAGCTGAAGAGCTGGTAGCAGGAAACAACAGGACTATGGGAAATGTGCAGTTGGAAAACATTACTTTTACACGTTTTGACACTGACTGATGTTACTGGTGTGTCCCTCCCAAAGCATTTGTTCTCAGAACAGTTTCCTTATTTCAGACTCTTCACATATCCTTCTACGCAAGGCCTTCTTTCCCCTAGGCGCTCGCACCCTAGCACACTCAGTTCCATCACAGCTTGTGGCCTGCAGGTTCAGAGTCTTTTACCAAGAGAGCTTTGAATTACTGGCAGAACAGCAAGTGCCTGGGTACATTTTCACTTTCGTCATTCTTTCAAGGTCCCTAATCTACAGAACAAGATCTTTTCCTGTTACTGCCCTTGAACCAGTGAGATCTTTCATCTAAATGCTTTACAACTCATTAGAAAATAATCCTCAGGCACACGCTGCTTTATCCCCTTCTCCCTCCGGGCTCCCTTCTCCTTCTGCAACTGGCCAAGGATTACATCACAGGCCCCACGCATTACCATGTCAATAAACATACCATCACTTTGTTACCTCTGAATGTCGCTAGGTAAAGGGCGAGATAATATTTAAACCAAGCTTTTCATTTTGAAAATTATTTGTACTGCAGGTTGATTAGCTTAAGTGACTTATCTATTTTCACACGGGTCATGAATTACAGAGCTGAGTGGAGAACTCAATGACTTTCCCACATTATTTCTGAAATCACAAATTTTTCCTGAAAACCTCAAAGGAGGGCAGGGCTCAAATGAAACAGGACTCATAACGGCCCCAGGATCACTTCCACTGGAGCCATTTTGCTGTGTCCTTAGAGGTCCACAGTTTTCCCTACTGGTAAAATATGGACAATAACCCTTAAAATCAGACTGCTAGACCACTATCAGATCAGCAAGTAAGATTCTAGGACTTCAAAAAGAAAAGAAGCATTATTGAATGTTTCGTCCAGGCCTGGGCTGGATTTTTTTTAAATGTAGGGGAGACCAAGTTTTATTAGTTTTCACTTTGCTTTCAGAAAGGGGCTGAGGAATATTTTTTCAGTAACTGTTCCGAATGCCTACCACACTCAAAGCACACATATCATTACTTTTGCTTATGCCCAGTCTCACATAGGTTTGTTGTGCTGTGTGTGTGTTTATTTCCCTTTGGTAGGCTTTACAACTAAGAAAAAAAGAGAAACATTTATATTAAGATGAAACAGTAAAAATTACTTCCTTATAAGACTAGGAAACAGTTAGGACTTCCAAACAAAGAGGAAGCTACAGTAATTGTTACCACTGAAAAGATAAGAACATCACTCCCAGACTGACTTTCCCACAGACACTATCGATCCTGGATGCCTCTCCTTCTTTATGTTTGTTACTTACATGGAGGTTGAGCTTGAATTATCCAGCTGCAGTTCTGATTGTGTGGGTATTTGGCAGGGTACAATGGCGAGGAAATGGTATCAAAAGAGTTGGTGAGGACGTAGCCTCCACAGACTGGAAACACAAACATACGCATGTGTCATATACTTTTCATTTCTACTGATGGTACCAAAACATTTGATGAATAAAAGCACAAATGATTTTTTTTTGAAACGCACTCCAAGGAAGTCGTCTGCCAAGGAAACTGCACTTAAACCATCAGAAAACGGGAACACACTTAACAAGATAACTTTCTTCAATTACAGGAAGTAGGGAAATGGCACAGAACAACAGATTAAATGGCTATGAATTGCCTGAATCATTCAAACAGAACACTGGCCTTGATTTGCTTACTCTGTCCACCCACAAACTAGGAGAAAGGGAATAATCTGTTTATAAATGATCTCTTTTTTTTTTTAATGATCTCTTTTTTTTCAAGAAAATAATTACTCAATAGAGCAGAGCAGGACTTCATAAGAACAACTAGATATTAACAGAGAAGCTCCGAGGTCTGTGGGCATCCAGGAGAGAGAGAACGGTGCCGCTGGTGGGTCTAGGAGGTGTCTCCAGGAAGACAGTGGACAGAGGAGGAATTGGAGCACGGGAAGAGCAAAGATGCTTAGGAGGCGCCTACACAGAGGAGGTGGAGGTGCCCAGGCCTTGAGGGGTGTTGGGGATCATGCTGGAAAGCGGTCAGAGCCTGCATGGGCCCCTTGGTTAATGCCCAGAGGGGCTTGTGTTTCATTTTCCAGATCATGCGAGACACACAAGCTCAATGGCACGATCAGAGTGTGGCTTTTGCAAGTGACTTTGAAGATGGACGAGGGAGGGTGAGTTTGAAGAGGGCTGTTACAACACTGCAGGTAGGAGAGAGTGGGGACTTTTACTCTGAAGTGATACCATTGGCAGTAATTAAATGTAAACAGAAAAAAGCATTAAGAAACTTTTTTCTTTGAAATCACTGAGAGTGGCTGATAGAAATATGGAGTCTATCTTGCTCCAAAGTTTACAGCTCATCTTTGGGAGCTCTTAATCCAGAATCCATCCCCACTGAGGGCTCTTTGCAAGAATACCCGCAAGTCCACTGAGTTGCATGTAAAGACTAAGCAGATTAAATGTAATGGAAGTGAATGGTCTGAACCATCGAAATAAAAATCATCACCGCACAGAGCCCTGAGTTCCTTCCATGCCTGACAGTTGCATAAAAAAGGTTAATCTCTGACAAAGACCAGATGAAAAGCAATGGGTGACAAGTTTATGGAGGGAAAATCAGGAAGCAGTAACTCAGGAACAACACAATAGGAAACAGCCATGACTCAGTTGGACAATGGAGGGATTCAGAACTGAGAGACATGAAGGCTCTACAGTACACGAAAGTTTTGTACTTTATTGTGGTGTGTCTCCTTGAAGTATAAAACCGTGGACAGTGCAAGCCTTGGATAAAAATGTTTTTATACTGTCTCAATCATCAGAGGCACCTCTAAATATTATTCTGAAAACTTTGAGACTATACAGTGTGTTTTAGAGATACGCAGATCCAAAGGAAGTCAGCACCAAAGGGAAAAGTATCAACAGTCAGAATAATTGTTAAGTCACATTTTTCTGTATTTACAATTTTGCATGTTAAGTAGGAAGCTGTGATTGGTTTTGGGAGAACTGGTCTCCTTTAATCACAGCACCAATCAGGGCAGTTAACAAAATTTCTCCTGTGTCAGGAGACCCGCAGGGTACTTGCCTTGCCTGAACTGGGCTCGGAAGCCCCTGCTCTGTCTGGAAGCGCCAGACTGGAATCTCACAAAGAGGCTGTCCCCTGAAGAGGTGATGGGGTTAGTCAGCTGCTGTCTGCCGCACACGCTGGCCAGGCGAGCTGTTGCAGAGTTTACGCCATCATGTGTCTACAGGGACAGAACACAGGAACCCTGGCTCAGCACCTCAGGATTACAACGGTAAAGCTCACATTCGGGCACTGGAGAGCTAACAGAAAACCACACAGTTGCTCGACCTAGGGAAATGGCTTTCTTGTCTTACCATGCAGCTCCACAAGAATGTGCAAGTCTTCATTTCCAGGGACACTTACAGGGCTTTCCACAGGGGTTTCACTTACTCTGACTCATGTCTTCTCTGATATCTTCATACACGATGTCCCTTTCACAGCCCTCCTTCCTCCCCCGACTTCAGGACAGTCCAGACCCACAACACTTACCGAATACGTTTGATGCAAGAATGAACATAAAAGCAAATAGCTGAGAAATAATAACGAGTGAGCACTTATTGTCAGAAACCTAACATTTGTTGGAACTTTCTTCTCTTCACAAGCTCATTCATGGTCAAAAAGCAAGAGAAATGGTAGAACCCCTTCAATAGCATGAGTGGTATGAGTCTGACTTAGAAATATCTCTCTCCTTTTAAAAAATATTTTGCACTGTGTTTCTACCTAGTACTATGCTGGGACTTTTCCAGCTCTCCAAAGATGCCAATGGAACAGAGTTTACATCATGTACTTGAATTCTCTGTATCAGTTTGTGAAACTGAAGCTTAATCATCTGGATGCTGTGTCTAGTAGGAAGTTCTGAATGCTCTCATGTTTAAACTGGGGAGAGATGATTTTCTTGTCTGAGAGAGTTACCATTCATTAAGTGCTTACTACGTGCCCCAAACTGGATTCAGTCCTGCACACTCTCTGGCCCATTTTCTCCCAACCTTCTTTTTTAAGAAGAGGGAAAACCAATGCACAGAGACCCTACGTGACATGGCCAAGTAGCACAATTCCTAAGAGGGATGGGTCCCACTGAACCAAAGGAAATTCCAGAGCTGAAGCTCTTTCATTGCATAGAAAGCAAGGTGTCAATTCAGCAGGGTAGATATATCACCTTGCCAGAAATCAGAATAATGTTGAAAGTATGAAATTAAAATATGGTTATTTCATTCAAAAAATTCCATTGATATTTTATAAGACAATCTTGGGAAAAAAGTAGTTCAGCAATCTAATGAAAGGAAGGTACTCACAGGTACTTTGAAATACCTAATGATGATAGTCAGTATTCTCTCTCTATCACACAGGTATGACAGGGAACCTATGTTCAGTTTGATTTGTACAAGCATGTGAATCAAATAGCAAAAGGATTTTAATTCTTAAAGCAAGGAATAAAGCTGTTAGGGTAATGATTTTAAAAGAATTGTGATTCTGAAGCAGTACATCATTCCATCTTTTTTCTTTCTTTAATCTAATGTTCACATTTATTTCTATATATCCAATAAATGAAACGTTAATGCTGACTTTCATTTGGCAAAGATTGACTAAAAATAAATTATGTTTTCTTAAGCAATTTGAAATACAATTGCCAGTCTAGTATGACTGTTTCTGTTGATACTTTGAACACCTTACACAAGTGATGGCAAACCTTTTAGAGCTGCCAATGATAACAAACAGCCGGCTGCAGCACATGTGGCATAGGTTCACCACCACTACTTTAGACATAGCCACAACAACATATAAGTCATCATCAACTACATTCTACATTACTACATTCACACTTCAGCCTTCTCTCAAACACTGTCATCATTGGTTTAACTCATATCTTTATTATATTTTAAAATATAAAATATTTTTATGACTTCCTAAACTTATAGCTATAATAACCTTGGATTTTAGTAATGTTCTATTAATACTATTTTAGTTGTTCATAAAAAAAATCTTATAACACCTGGGGTTACAGCGTCTGCGGAAATTAGCAATTGACTTGCTCAACGTACAAGACTACTTGCTTCTCTTAAGATGCTTTATTTCTTCATTTGTTAGAACAACATTGCTTACTTTCTTAAATTCTGCTGGAACACTTGGTTCTATGAAGTTTATAGACTACCCTCATAAAAAACCCCACAAGATTTAGAACTGCTTTCAAATCTAGGCTCATACAGGCAAGCTATTTCTAGTCTTGTCTATTTCTCCCCAAATGCAGAAGTCTAATGTGTAAGTGGATATTATTTCTTATTTTTCTAAGCCCTTGTTTTGTTCTAAGTAGATGTGATTCTCTCAAGAGAAAAAGGAAATAATGTGGAAAAGGTAAACCAGAAAAATAAAGGATAGAAACTTCAGAAAGTCACATGAATGAGTCATTTTTCTGGGGATTCTGTGGCTTGGACACATCTAGGAGGTCTGCAGACTTCCATGCCCCATCCCTTGAGTCCTTGAATCTTAGGACCCCTGCTGAAATTCACTGGCTGGTCATTGCTTCACAAGGAATGGATCCAGAGAAGGTTTCCAGCTGTCCTTGAATTGAGATTATATACCAATGGCACACCACATGTATGAGTGTGTTTTACATTTTACACACACCATCACAAATTAATCTAGTCTGCCATGCCAGGTAAATATTTTTTGTAATGAAGAAACTGAGATAAATATGGTAACCATTAAACTATTATTTTATTCAATGTAAACTTATAACTTATGCATGATCACAGAGCCAGTGAGCAGCAGTCTTTTCTTGCCAGATTCTGTATTATATCCTGCCACTTCTCTTTAGAATGCATGTGATAGTTATTAATTTATATATAACTAATTGTCATTTTATGACATTTCAAAACCTGAGGCTATTAATGTGCCAGGTTTTTAAAACTGCATTTGGAATATTGATTCTCTTTTGAGAGTAACACTTGCAATAATATGTCGATATTCTCACATTTAAAGTTTTAATTGGCAAAGTTACAAGAAAATCATAACAAGAAAGAAAATATGAGAAACTTTGTTCTTTTTTAAAATTCTAAAGTCATGAAAACTTCAAACATGAGTTTTAAATGTTAAGTCAATATGCATTTTCCTTTACTTCCACTTAGTTCCTAAGGCAGAGATAGCAAATTATATTACTACTGGGTACATGTATAATGTATTCATGTAATTTGCATAATTCTTACTTAAATCTACTGCCAAGATTTTTCTAGGCCTGAGAATTGATTTTCCAACCTGTTATTTAAGTAGTAAATGTCAGAGCAATATATAAACAAAATAAAGTAAAACTTTGTGCATCCTAACTGACTCATTCCTATGATACTAATACAATAAAACTTTGGAGTCAAGTCCCCTAAAGAAAAAGTAGCCCCCATCTTGAGAAGTTCCAACTAAAGCAGCTCTCAGAAAACAAAAGCAGATCTGGCTAAATGTAATCTAATTCCCATAGGAAGGTTCATCAGTGCCTTTAGAAAGTATCCAGAGTTTTGTAAAATTTTAAGATATTAGCACAGACTTTCAAAATGCCCAAATTTAACTGCATCACAATGAAATAGAAAACTTTTAAAGAAGAGCACCTGGCACACAATAGATAATAACTGTTAGATGCACAAATGAATGTGACGAACATATGACAGCTTATGGTCTTTAAGAACAGAGTCCTAGGTTTGAAAAAACCCAGAGTTAAGGGAAAGTTCTCATTTCCCTCATGGGGTGGATTGTACAAGCACTTGGTAGGCACAGTGATGGGCAGGAGGCCACTCACAGTGGGAAAGAGGTCACTCGTGGCTGCTTTCTGGGTAGTATTTCTACATGCTGGCCCAAAGGGCAAGTGGAGGGGACCTAATTACAAAGCACCACCAACCCCACTAACTCAGCTTCACCCACAGTGTGAGTGAAGGTAGATGGGCTGAGAACATCAGGCTCATCCTGAGGCCCGTAGCATTCTGAACACATGACATGTTATGATCCTGTCAGAGCCCTCCACATACTACTAGCCAAAAGCGAGAACCAAACCAAAGCTTATGAATTTTCATACTTGACATTTAAATTCCTGGAGAAGATTTGGGTAAATGTCAATCATTGCCAAGGTTAACCCTTATCAACCTTATCACACATCAAGGGACACAGTAAAACCATTCACGTGAGAGAATGACATTTACAGTTTTGAAGGTCCATGAGCAGAGTCCTAAGAAATGGTAATATGCAAAATAAATGAGCCCAACAGTGAGGACATTTTACCTTCCTATAAACATACTGATGCTATAAATATGCATTATTGAAGAGCTCCACTATTTAAGAGATGGTAGCAGAATTCCTTCTAGAGGGAAAGACAGTCTTTAGAGGAACACTTTCACAGGCTTTTAGAACAGGAGCACAATAAAAGGTGTTCTTTTATGTTGCTGGAAGCAAGTTGCTCCCTTTCTACACTTCCTAACATGTTGCTCAGTTTTCTAGTTTGTAAAATGGGACCGATAAGAGTATACAGTTCATGTTGTTCAAGAAAAGTAAATGAGTTAAAAGATATAAAGTACTTAGAAAAGCTTCTGACATAAAGTAAATATGTAATCGATATTAGCCTCTACTACTAAAGTGAGACAGAGAGCTAAATTTTTATGTAAGAAATTAGGTGGGAAATTAGGAAGGCAAAAAAGAAAAGAAGTTCAGGAGTGGAATGTCCAGCAAAATGGATGAAGTAGGAGCCCCAGTGATAGATATAATCGATAAAAATTACCCAGCTGGAGATGGTGGGGCAGTAGGCAACTTTTGAGGTGTCTCTGAATGATTCCCAGCTCTTAGTATTCTTGTGCTTCTGTAATTTCTTCCTCAAGTATGGGATAAACCTAATGACTTACTTTAAATTAACAGAGTAAAGAAAAACTGATGAGATAGGTCTTCCATGGTTAAAATTCAAGAAATGGTGGCCTCTGTCTTGCTCTCTCTCTCTCTCTCTCTCTCTCTGTTTCTCTGTTTCTGTGTGTGTGTGTGTCTGTCTGTCTATCTGTCTCTGTCTCTCTGTCTCTCTCTATGTCTATCTCTCTCTCTCCCCTTGGGACTATCTCTTGTCCTGCCTGATGCTTGCTCCTATAAAGCAAGCTGCCACGCTGTGACACACTATGGAGAGGACTTCATGGCAAGGAGTCAAAGGAGGCCTCCAGCCAACAACCT